TCGCGTGCTGGCGGGCGCGGGGGGGACGGGCATGTACCTGGGTGGGCTGACGCACTTTACGGCGCTGACGTCGGCGCAGACGCGGGGCACGTACATCACGGGCATCACGTTTGTGTGGGGCATCGGCAGCATCCTGGGCCCTGTCGTGGGCGGCGCGCTGAGCACGAGCGGCGCGACCTGGCGATGGGCCTTTTATCTGAATCTCATCATCGGCGCCGTCACGGCCCCCATCTACGTCGTCTATCTGCCCGCCATCCACCCGATCACCGGCAAAACGGTCCGTGAGCGGCTGGCGACGCTGGACTACGTGGGCTTCGTGCTGAGCGCGGCGGTGTGGGTGACGTTTGGCCTCGCGCTCGTGTCGGCCGGCGGGCTGTGGGCCTGGCGCGACGGCCGCACCATTGCGACGCTGGTGGTGTGCGGCGCGCTGCTGGCGCTGTACGCGGCGCAGCAGTACTTTTGCTGGTGGACGACGCCCGCGACGCGCTCGTTTCCCGCGCATTTGCTGTCCTTTGACGCGCGCCGCCGCCGCGTGAGCGTCACCACGCTCCTGCTGTACGTCGCCGCCTCTGCCTGCATCGCCACGCTCTACGTGCCGGCGTACTACATCCCCGTCTACTTCCAATTTGTGAACAACGACACGGCCCTGCTGGCGGCCGTGCGCCTGCTGCCGTTCATTCTCGTCACCGTCTTTGTCAACCTCGCCAGCGGCTACCTGCTGGCCAAGATCCTGTACTACAAGCTCTTCTACCTCCTCTCCGGCCTGACCCTGACCGTGTCGGGCGCGCTCTTCTTTGTCTACCTGCAGCCCGCGACGCCCGTCCGCATCATTTACGGCTTGTCGGTCCTCGGTGGCTTTGGCACCGGCCTGTCGCTGCAGATCGGCTACGCCGTCGCCACGCTCATCGTCGACCCGGCCGACATGGGCAACGCCATCAGCCTGCAGAACGTCAGCCAGGTCGGCAGCACAATGATCTCGCTCGTGGTCGCGGGCCAGATCTTCCAGGGGACGGCCGTGCGGAACCTGCAGGGTGTCTTGGCCGGCCTTGGCTATACGGTCGGCGACGTCCAGAGCGCCGTGGCCGGGGCGCAGAGCACGCTGTTTGCCACGCTGGACGACGCTGTGCGAGTGCAGGCCATTGGCGCCATCGTGTCGGCGATCCAGTCGGCGTTTTCGCTGGTGATTGTGTCGGGGGGGATTCTGGTGGTCGTTGGTGCGCTGATGCGGTGGGAGCCGTTGTTTGCTAAAACGGGTGACGAACAAACGAATGAGAATAGCGAATAGCGAGTGAGTGAAGAATGACTCACGAGAGGGCGAGAGGGTGGCAAGAGGAGAGGATACCGCACTGTTCATTTTGTTGACGTTGCTTTTTGTTGACGTTGCTTTTTGTTGAAAACGCATTGTATTCATTGACATAGACTAATACCACATTATCCCAACATCCATCCACCTCAATGCTGTTATCAGGCCGGCACGCTCCCCTGGTCTACGCCGTCTCAATCTTGAACCCCGAAAAGGTCACCTGCAGCGACTCTCCCTTGGACACGTCGTACGGGTCGGGCTGCGCCGCGTAGGCGCCCACGAGCACGTCGTCGCCGAGCGTGTCGTGCGCCAGAAACACCCACGGCACCTTGCGGATAAACAGCCGCTTGTCGCCGCGCAGCAGCCAGACCTGCAGCGCATGCTTCTCGCGCGTAAACTGCAGCGAGACGGGCAGCTCGCCGCCGAGGCTCTCGCCCGCCAGCGACAGCGGGATCAGGCTCCAGTCGCTCCAGCCGCCCGTGCCGCCCGGGCCGCGCGCCACAATGCTAACGCACGGGCAGCCGTCGTTGACCTCGATGCCCGCCTTGACCCAGGCCGGGTGGTCGGCCGCGACGCCGGCGTTGTGGGCGTCCGGGTTGGGGTTCGACTTGGTCGGGAGCGTCAAGAGGAGGCCGGCCTGGTCGTACTGGGTGCGCCAGGCGGCGGAGGCGGTGACCTGCAGCGTCTGGAAGCTGTCGCGGGGGATGCGCTTGCAGACGACCGGCGCGGTGTAGTCGTGCAAGACCTTGGGGACACGCGGGGACGCGTAGATGTCCGACTTGGGCGGCGCGCCAAACGAGAAGCTGGGGCCGGTGCCGTCGGTCGCCAAGGGGCCGGCGGGGGCTGGGTCCTTGTCGGTAAAGTTGACAAACAGCAGGTCAGACATGGTGGGGAAGGGTAAGGTGTGACGGAATGCGATGGATGTCGTGAGAATTGTTGACTTGACTTCGGAAGTGAATTGACTGGAACAGAATTGAGTTGCGTTGAGTTGCGGCGTCGAGTGCCGACGACGTCTTATAATGCATGGAATTGAACGCACGATGAACAATGCATGTCCTCAGTCGACCGTCATGTACTCCGTAGAGGCAACCAACACTTGTCCTTCGGTAGATCCTCGGTGCCAAGCGGCGGTTTTGCCCTTTTCCGTTTCTCCCTGTTTGGAGATGTGGACAGGCGCCGAGCCAAAACGACACACGCCCTAGCTACGCGGTCTGAGCCCCGCCGTCACAGGCACCTTTGTCAGCCTTAACCGCTAAAACGCCGCTGTTCTCCCGCCTGAGCAGTTGTGTTATCTGGGACACGCGGTGGGGCTCGGAGCTCGGCGTCAGGGCCATTAGCGGGGTGTTGACGCTGAAGGGCCAGGCCTGGCCAGGCCCTTAACGGTATTGGGTGTTAGCGGTGGCCTGGAACGTCAACACCAAAAAGCAGTCCCGACGGCTGGACTGTTGATGTAACCATCACGGTCGGAACTCAATTCGGCGACGAGGAACACAGTGAGATGGTGTGTCGACATGGCTGTTCCGAGACGAAGATGACGGAGGGTCGTAGTGCCGAAGATGCGATTGGGACCGAATTAAAGAATGTACAAGAAACAAGAGAGCCACAAAAGAAGCAATAAATGTAGCAGACAACGATCGCGACAATCAACTCGAACGACAAGAAAGTCGGTGCTTCCACGAGGCAATCCACAAGGCACAAGGCACCTTCACGTTCATGACCCACCATGGTATATTCCATCGTCGAACAGCCCATGGGCACAGCGCGACCGCTGCGAGTCGTCGTCGTCGGCGCGGGCGCGAGCGGCTTGAACGTGGTACGCAACATCAAGGAGCACATGAAGCATGTCGAGGTGGTTGTCTACGAGAAGAACGGCGGCGTGGCGGGCACATGGCTCGAGAACCGGTACCCGGGGTGCGCGTGCGACATCCCGAGCCACAACTACCAGTACTCGTGGGCGCCGAATCCAGAGTGGTCGGAGTACTATGCGTCGCAGCAGGAGATTCGGGCCTATCTCGAAACGACGGCCGAAGCGCACGGACTGCTGCCGTACGTGCAGTTTGGACAGAAGGTGACGGAGGCGAAATGGGACGAGGAAGCCGGCCAGTGGCGTTTCACGATCGAGAGCGTGGCGACCGGAACGAGGTCAACCGACAGCGGCCATTTTTTTATCAACGCCAGCGGCTACCTCAACAACTGGAAGTGGCCGACCATTGACGGCCTGCACTCGTTCAAAGGCCCCCTTCTGCACAGCGCCGCCTGGGACGACAACATCGATCTCGCGGGCAAACACGTCGCCGTCATTGGCTATGGCTCGAGCGGCATCCAGCTGGTGACGGCGATACAGCCGATCGTGAAGCAGCTGACGACGTTTGTGCGCGGGCCGACATGGATCACAGCGGGCTTTGGCAGCAAGTATGCAGCGCCGGGCGGGCTGAATTTCAAATTTTCGGACGCGCAGAAGACGACCTTCCGAAACGACCCCGAGGCCTACCTGGCCTACCGCAAGGGCGTCGAGCACGAACTCGCCAGCCGCTTCAAGATGCTGCACAAGGACACGCCCGAACAGCAGGCGGCCGTCGACTTTTCGCGCAACGACATGCTGCGACGACTTGGCGGCGACCCGGACAGCCGCCTGGCCAAGACGCTGATCCCATCCTTTCCCGTCGGCTGCCGTCGTCCATCGCCGGGCAACGGCTATCTGGAAGCCTTGTCGGCGCCCAACGTGAACGTGGTGACGGGCAGTGAAATTGTGCGGATCGAGGCAGACGGCCTTGTCGTCCAGGACGGAGCGACGGGCGCAGAAACCAAGATTGCGGTCGACGTGATTGTCTGTGCCACCGGCTTCGACCTGTCCTTCCGCCCACGATTCCCCATTGTCGGGCGACGCGGCGTCGACCTCCGCGATGCCTGGAACACCGCCACCGACACCGACACCGACGGCCGCGCCACGGCGTATTTGTCCATGGCCCCGGCCGACATGCCCAACTATTTCGTGTTTCTCGGCCCGCAGGCCCCCGTGGGCCACGGGTCCGCGATGCCCATCATCGAGCACCTCACAAAGTACATTTTGAAGATGGTGTACAAGATGCAGACCGAAGACTACAAAGCCGTCGTCCCCAAGCCTGCCGCCATTGCCGAGTTCGTCCAGCACGCCGACACGTTTCTGCCACGCACCGCCTGGGCCGGCCGCTGCCGCAGCTGGTTCAAGAACGGCCGCGAAACGGGGCCCGTCACCGGCCTGCACCCGGGCAGCCGTTTGCACTGGTTCCATCTGCTGCGCGAACCGCGCTACGAGGACTGGGAGTGGACGAGTCGGAGTGACAACCGTTGGGCGTACCTGGGCAACGGCTTCAGCACCATGGAGGGCGAGGGCCGCGACGTGACCTGGTACTTTGATGAGCCCGAAAAGGAGTATGACTTTTTTGTTTACTAGACAGCCGAACACAGTGACAATACACTGCGCAATGGACCATATAAACTGTATATACACTGTATCTGTATGACCCAGCGTATGCCGTAGAAAAAAAAAGACAAAATATCCACGGAAGAGAGACATCTCCGTCCTCGATGAACTTGGAGCTTGTTGTCCATCTCACGTCCCACGATCTTTACTGTTCCCCCAAGTCACTTTTCACATCGTTTTCGAACTCTTTTCGGCTCCTTAACGTGCAATACACTCATACACATTCACAAAAAAATGGCGTCACATATTGCCACTGGCGTGTCTCTACGAGCGTCTGTTACATTGCCCGTGAGTAATAGCTCTATGGATAGTTCTCGTACGAGCAGCCACCCCTCAGCAGCAACATCAAAAACCGCGACAACGACTCCCGAAGGTTCACCAAGTACCATGGCAATGACGGCTGGGGCCAAGATGGCTGGAACAGACGACAGCCAGCTTTCTCTTACACCCGACTTGGCGTATACGGACGCAGCGGCCATTTTTTCGCTCGCAGAGAGGGCAGACCGACTCGTTGACTGTCTTGTTGTGGGTGGCGTGTCTGCCGCTGATTTTCACGAAATCGAGGCCGAACGGGACCGCCGCGGACGACGCATCCGCCTCTTCTTCCTGCCGGACCGGGCCTGCACCATTGTCACGATCCCCACCGGGCCACATGAACAAGCACATGTTGAGCTGTACTATGTTGTGCGCGATTCGCTAAAAGAAATGGGACTGGCGAACGAGTGGCAGTCAGTCGCTGCGGAGACGTTTGCCACAGGCAGCCGCGGCTCCGGTGAGGGCGATTCGGGTGGCGGGCCACTCTGGCGGAACGATGAGGGCGGCATTTTCTGGCCCACAATCGTCATAGAAGCGGGATTTAGCCAATCCATGGCATCGTTGTGCGCGAAAGCAAACTGGTGGTTCAGCGTCTCGCACAATCATATGAAGATTGTGCTTCTCGTCAAGATGTCGTTCACCGCCACTGAATCCAGCATCGCTGTAGAGAAATGGACATCGACCACACGCCGCACGGCTCGTCCCGGCGCAACGACGACACGCTCGCTCGCCCACGCTACGCCGTCTGCTATGGAACCCGGTTGTCGGCAGCGAATCGACATTTCTTGGTCGGGGCCCTCCCCCATTCAACAGACCCCACGCCACGGTCGCGTCGCAACACTCTTCACTGTCGTAGGCGCCCCCATGGTCCTCGGATTTGAGGAGTTGATGTTGCGTCCTCCCGTGGCAGCGCACGGTGAGCACGACATTGTAATCTCCGCGGCACATTTTCAAGACCTGGCTTTCCGTGTCTGGCTGTCGGTGTGAGAGAGAGAGGAAAGAAATTGTCGAAATTGTCTGTTAGCATTGATGTGTCTCGTGTTTCGTCATTCACCCATCGCGTCTGCGTTTTTTGTCCACGCGATTATACTGATTACGCTAAAAATACGAAACAGCATCACAATCTCGCCTCTTTGTTTCCATTACTCCCGACTGCGCTTATACCTCCGCGCTCCTGACACCCGTGTTTTTCCTTTCCGTGTCGACATGCGTGGCCGTCGGTCTGTCCTCGAAGACTGGATGGTGTTAGTATTGTTCATATAGAATTCATATAGCAGAATTCACATAGTCACACTCGGCCTTCCCCTCAACTTACTGGCATCCATTTCTTCGAGTGATCGGCCCTTGGTCTCCTGGATGAAAAAGAAAGCAAAGGCCACAAGCGCCCAATTGAAGATGAAGAACATTAAGAACGTGCGCCAGCCCAAGTTCTTGACGGCGTGTGGTGTAATCTGTGAAAAGGCAAAGTTGAACAGCCACTGCGTCGCGGTGCCAATGGCAACGGCGCCCTCCCGAATCCGCGATGGCATGATCTCGGCCATATACAGCCACGGCACGGGGCCCCACGACATGTTGTAGGCCATGGCCTCGACATAGATGAAGGCGACGGCCGCGGCGGACGTCGGCTGCAGCGCGCCCGAGGCCGACGGCGGATGCGTCTTGACGAGGAGCGCGACGATGAGCATGCAGGCGCCCATGACAAAGGCGCCGCCGAGCAACGAGAGGCGGCGACCGAAGCGCTCAATCATGAAGAGCACAAAGATGCCGCAGGCGACGACCTTGGCGACGCCGAAGAAGCCCGTGAAGAACAGGTTGTTGCTGCCGGCGCCGATGGCCGTAAACACCTGCGGGGCATAGTAGGCGAGCGACGTGTTGCCGGTCAGCTGCACGCCGATCTGGATGGCCACAATGAGGGCCACGCGGTAGCGGTTGATGGGCAGCCATAGCTCCTTGATCGAGTAGCCCTCGGTGCGCCGCTCCTCGTCGCGGATGCTCTCGACGATCTCGCGGTACTCGTCGCGCACGGCCGGCGCATCCTCGCCGCGGACCCAGATCAGCGACCGCAGCGCCTCGTCGTCGCGCTTCTGGATAGCCAGCCAGCGCACGCTCTCCCGGGTGACGAGCATGCCGAGGCCCAGAATGCCGCCGGGCACGAGCTGCAGCCCGACGGGGATCTGCCACTGCGCGCTCTTCGTGCCGGCGACGTGCTTGCTGACGCCGTAGTCCACCCAGTAGCTCGTCATGACGCCCAACGTGAAGAAGAACTGGAACAGCGAGCCCAGCTTGCCGCGGATCTCGCGCGGCGCCATCTCGACGGTGTACATGGGCACGACGACGGTGGCGATGCCGACGCCGACGCCGGACACGACGCGGGCGACGTAAAAGGCGGCGAGCGAGCGCGTCGGCGCGACCTGGATAACGGCGCCGATGCAAAAGATGAGCGACGCCAGCATAATCGTGCGGCGGCGGCCGAAGCGCGCCGTCACGGGCCACGCGAAGAAGCAGGCAAAGAAGGCGCCGGCCTGCAGCAGGCTGGTCGAGTTGGACGAGACGTCGGTGTTGTTCTTGGTGTGGAAGTCGGCGACAAACGACGGCAGCGTCAGGACGCCGCCGATGATGCCCGTGTCGTAGGCAAACAAAAAGGAGCCGATGCAGGCGAGCGCCGACAGGTACGACGCCCGAAAGGTGCCGATGCGGGTCATGGTGGCGGCGTGCGTGAGGTGAAGCAGCGGCGAAGAGGGATGGAAATAGGCAGAGGCAGAAAACAGGACGAGACAAGACGAGACAACGACAGAACCAAGGAACGAAACGCGGCGAGGATTAGAACCACGCGCAGAGGCAAACGGGCTGTGAGCACACCGTCTTTATTTACGGGCAGGAGCGACCAGCTGCAGCGACGGACAGCAGCGCCTTCCCTTCATCACGCAATCGCATGTCTCCTTCGCTCCTTCCCTCTTCTGGTTGTCCCCCTTGCCAGTCGGTGAGCATGCTTTGCAACGTGCCAGGATGCTCTGGCCTACTAAAAGTACGAACGTCTTTGTGGACGACGCGAGCACACACGTCTACTACGCCCACAAAGGACGAGCTGGGTCCACACAGGCTGGATGCTATCGAGCACGCCATGGCACACTGTCGCCCAAAAGAGCAGTCCGACCGACTTCCGGGTGGACCCGCTTTTCCGCTCTGGTCGTCCCGTTGGTGTGGCAGTTGCGATATCCACTTTCCCAAAACGGAAATTACGAACGCAACTCACAGTTCCTGAGTCCACCACAACGGCTGGGGACCGAATGAATGTGGGACAACCCCCTCTTTGCAGCTGTACGAGACGTCAACGACGTGCCTCTTTTTGTCGGTGCCGTCACCCGTCTGTTGGATCGCAGCTTTCATCACAAATGACGCAACATCGCAGCCTTGCAACGCCATCGTCCATGGTCTCCAATTTCTCTGTATCCTCAAAACCCGCGACGTCACCTCGATACCACCATGGCACGGCCAAACATTGTCTTCATCCTGGCCGACGACCATGCTGCCAAGGCCATCAGCTGCTACGGCGCGGGCATCAACCGGACGCCCAACATGGACCGGCTGGCGGCGGAGGGCATGAAGTTCAACCACTGCTATGTGACCAACTCGATCTGCACGCCGTCGCGGGCCGCGATTCTGTGCGGCACGCACAACCACGTCAACGGCGTCATGACGCTCGACAGCAAGATCAACAAGCACCTGCCCAACGTGGCCAAAGCGCTGCGGAGCGAGGCCGGGTACGCGACGGCCATGGTGGGCAAGTGGCACCTCGGCGAGGGCCGGGAGCACGAGCCGACGGGGTTTGACCACTGGTCGGTTCTGCCGGGGCAGGGCGAGTACTGGGACCCCGCATTCATCGGGCCGGACGGCGCGGCCGTGGAGCCCGGGTATGCCACGGACATTATCACGAAAAAGTCGCTGGACTGGATCGACGCGGTGCGCGCCGAGGATCCGGCGCGGCCGTTTTTCCTCATGTGCCACCACAAGGCGCCGCACCGGTCGTGGGAGGCGCACCCGCGGCACCAGGACCTGTACACGGACCCGGTGCGCGTGCCCGAGACATTCGACGACGACTACAAGAACCGGGCCAAGGCCGCAAGTCTGGCCAAGATGCGCGTGGCCGAGGACCTGACGTACTACGACCTGGGGCTCGTGCAGCCCGAGGGCAGCGGCGACGCAGTCGGCGAGCGCATGGCGTCCGAAGGGTTCAGCATGCACCGCAAGATTCCGGCGCCGACCACAGAGGCGGGTGTGCGTGCTCTGCGGTTGATTGACAAGGCGGATGGTCACGTGTTCACCTTTGCGACGCCCGACGCGCTCGCGCAGTTCAAGTACCAGCGCTACATGCAGCGGTACCTGCGGACGATCCAGGCGATTGACGACAGCGTGGGCGCGGTGCTCGACTACCTGGACCGGGCGGGCCTCGCGGACAACACCATGGTCCTGTACAGCTCCGACCAGGGCTTCTTCCTGGGCGAGCACGGTTGGTTCGACAAGCGCTTCATGTACGAGGAGAGCTTCCAGATGCCACTGCTCGTCAGGTACCCGCCCGCCGTCGCGCCCGGCAGCGTCTGCGACGCCATTGTCAGCAACGTCGACTTTGCGCCGACGTGGCTCGACGTGGCCGGCGTGCGCATCCCGAGCTACATGCAGGGCGTCTCGTTCCGCCCTCTGCTGGAAAACAAGGGGCACGCCCCGCCCGCCTGGCAGCCGGTCGCCTACCACCGCTACTGGATGAACAACGACGAGGCCCACAACGTGCTGGCGCACTACGGCGTGCGCAACCACCGGTACAAGCTGATATACTGGTACAACGAGGACCTCGGCGTGGCGGGCGCGCGGCCGTGCACCGACTATACGGAGAAGGAGTGGGAGCTGTTTGACTGCGACAAGGACCCGCTGGAGCTGTTCAACGTATACCACGACGCGGCCTATGCGGACACGGTCGTGGAGCTGACACGGCTGCTGGAGGACAAGATGGCCGAGATTGGCGACGAGCCGGTGCATAAGACGGCAGCACAGAAGACGATGATCCGGACGTAGACGAAGTCGGGCGAGAGGCAGGAATCGAGGATATAGTGGTGTACTTAGTTCAACCGACATAACGTGCCAAAGCAGCGAGGCCGTGCAACGGACATATAAAGACCTTTCTCCAATCTGTAATTCAATTAGATAGCTTTCAGAATCAACAATCATTCATCACATACTTAATCATATTATTCAGGACCCTACACCGTGGTAGGCATTCTGAAACGGGATGCTTGTGATACTTTGCTTTTTATTCTGCTACCGCATCTCAAAGTCAGGGACGTATGCGCCAGTGCGTAACAAGTAAGATGATAAGATGAGATTATGGCTCAACCATAAAGAATTTTAAACACAAGTACGTCGACGTCCTAGTCCTAGATCGCACTGGACTCGGCGGTCCACTGGACCATGCGTCAGTGTAGTGTTGTATGGCGTGCTAAAAAGAGGGGAAAGCCGGGCAGGGGTCGATTCCCCAGTGTCAAACTGTGGTGTATCGCAGGTAACCAGCAGGGCAACAAGCTCATGCAGTGCAGGTCACCTGGAGTACTGTTTGTTGTGTTTTGGTTGCTGTGAGTCTCTGCACGGGAGTATGTCGCTTTTCTTTTTTTTTTCTTTTTTTTTTTCTTTTTTGTCAACCCACCCCCCCACCAGTGTCGACACCGGCATCGACAATGGACCAGCTGACGGGCAGTTTTCCCGTGGCAGGCAGGGCCAGACTCACTTGCCAGCAGTGTCGAGCGAGGAAAGTGCGCTGTGACGGCGAGGCAGAGGGCTGCGGCGGCTGCCGGCGGCTGCACTTTGACTGTTCGCTCTCGGCCACATCGACCACATCGACCACATCGACCACATCGTCGTCACTGCCGGCACCACCCCGACAACGAGTGAGCCGCGCGTGCAACAGCTGCCAGCAGCAAAAAGTGCGCTGTTCCGGCACACGGCCGCGTTGTCTGCACTGCGCGCGTCGCGGCGTGGCCTGTGTCTACCAAGTACCGCCGACGCGATGGCGCCACCGTCGGACATCGTCGGCTGCAGACGATGCGAACATGGATGCCCCCGTACCACGCCAGCGATCACCGGCGGCGACGGCAACAGCAGCAAAAGACAACGACACGTGCATCTCCTGCCGCGACCTCGTGCGTGTCGCCCACGGCGGCCTTGGCAGCCACAACCGGGACGCCCTCCTCGCGCGTGTCGACCACTTTTTGCAGCACGCCTACCCGCTGCCGTCCTACTCCCTCCTGCACCCGGCGACGACGCGCGCCAAAGCGGCCGCCGGCCAGCTGGACCCGGCACTCGCGCTGGCCCTCTGCGCGCTGACGCAGCTGCATCCGCACATACGGCAGGCCGACTGGCATGCCAGCGCGTGCCAGGGGACGTGTCTTGTGCGCGAGACCGAGACGCTCGTCTGGCAGCAGCTGGAGCGGCCGACGACGGCGCGGCTGCAGGCGCTGCTGCTGTGCATCAGCCACCGCATGGAGACGGGCCACTTCCAGCGGGCGTTTATGCTGGTGTCGCTGGCGGCGCGGTCGGTGGCCGCCATGGGCCTGCACCAGGAGCCTCTGCGCCCGGACGGCGCGCCGTCGGTGCACCTGCATCACCACCGCCACCACCAGGAAGTGCGCCGCCGCATCGTGTGGAGCCTCAAGCTGACCGAGCGGTACTTTTCGCACGGCCTCGCGGCGTTTGAGCTGTGTCCCTTTGAGTCGATTGATCTGCAGCTGCCGTGCCGGGAGGAGGCATTTTCGTTTTCGTCCTTGGGGCGGGCGAGTGGCGACGATGACAGGGCCGACGACGGCGGCGCGCTGGGCGTGTGCGTCCGCCTCGAAAAGATGCGCCGCGACATTATGAAGATGATCCGCGCCGTGTGCAAGGCCGACGGCAGCGACCGGCCCGTGCCGGACCTTGTGCCGGACCTAGTGGCGCAGATCCGCGACAACGAGCAGCGCCTGCACGCCATCGGCACGCATTTCCCGCACGGCACGGCCGTCCGCCACGCCGACCTGCAGCGCCTGGTCGCCCAGGCGCCGCAGTGGATCGCGCGCCACGTCCAGATGCACCTGTCATGGCACCAGTGCTTCTGCGACATGTACCGGCTGCTGCTGCCCGGGTTTTACGAGGCGGCGCCGCCGGCCGTCCTCGCGACCGTCGACGCGGCCGCGCTGGCGTGGGCCGAGCGCGCGTGCGTGCGCCACGCCTGTGCCATCCTCGACCTGCTGTCGGGCCTCAACCAGATCAGCGCCGTGCCGCTGCTGCTCGAGTTTGACACGGCCATCTGCGCCTACCAGGCGGCGCTGGTCGTGCTGTTCATTGCGCGCTTCGGCCGCACGCCGCAGCGGCCGACGCACGAGTTTGCCGCGAGCCGCGCGGCGCTGTGCCTGGCGGCCATCAACCGCTTCTTCCCGTCGTCAGCGCTGATCCAGCCGATCCGCGAGGAGCTGCTGCGGGCCATGGACGCGTATGCGACCGACAGCACGCAGGCCCAGAGTGTCCAGCAGCAGCAGCAGCAGCAGCACCATCAGGCGGCAGACGCGACCGACGCGTCGCCCGCGTCCAGTGGCACGCCGACGACGGTTGCCACCATTGCCACCATTGCACCCCCCAGCAGGCGCCGTCGCCCGGGGCGCGGTACATCCGCGACAAACTGGCGATCCACAGTCTGCTGCGGCGTGCCGACTTTTCAGACGGCGACGACACGTCGACCGACGGCATGGACACGGTCGTCGCCGAGACTGTTCCCGTGGCGGTGAACGTCTACCCGGCCAGCCTTCCCTTGCAGCCGCCACAGTCGCAGCCGTCCTACTCCCAAGCACCACATCCGTCACAGTCGCCGTCCTTCTTGTCCGACAGCACGAGCCCCGACTTTGTCCCCGCCGACGGTCTGCTCCAGCAGCCGCTCGTCGAAACGGCCGCGTTTGACTTTGCCGCGTCGTTTCCCCTGGCCGAGAACCGCACCGACGGCGACGTGCAGACGCTCGACTTTCCCCTGTTTCCATGGTACGGGCTGATGGAGCAGGGGCTGTTGGACGGCGGGGTGTCGTGAGGCAGACGTGAAGGAAGACGTTGCGATGATACTGTTTTGTATTCTACGATATGTAATGATAATGATATGATGTCCTCCCATAAACGTATTGATACAGTGTGGCGCCCACAAGGCTGCATTGCAAGAACCACGGTCATTGACGAATGGTTGTGAATGGGGCGGTGAATGGGGCGGTGAATGAGGCGGCGTTTGTTCCGATATCCCGGTTGTGTTGGAACCGTTTTCGAACAGGGATATTTCCAGGACTTGCCAGAGTAACTGCATTTGGACAACAGCCGACATCCGATGCACGGTCCGATGCAGTTGCGAGTGGAGCTCGTCTTACATCGTACAGGTAGAAGCGTTACATGAGCTTGTCGGAAAGAGAACAGAGACCGGCATCCGAGATTGGATTGCCCTGTGAAGCCTTTTTTTTTTGTTTATTAATTATCTGAATTGACCCTCGTTCTGGAATTTTGCATGGTTTTGGGTGAATGTCAATCACGTCGAACAACACCAAGATGACGATTGCTAGCCCAGTCGTCTTTGTCGCTGCATCCAAACTGGGACCATGAGTCTGCAGTCTGCGAATAATATAGAAAGTACATCACAGGATACCTCCACACTTTTAAATTTTGTGCTTGCCGCACTCCCCCCCCTAATTCACGGTCCAGTACGTCGCGTTGGATATGCCCGTCTTGGTGCCGCTCTGCGTCTTGATGCGGATCTTGATCTGCGGCACCGTGACGTTGGCCAGGTCGAGCGTGGCCGCAAAGGTGTAGTTGGTGCTGGCGGGCAGCGGGGTCCAGACGCCGCTGCCGGGCACGGCCCACTCGGCCCAGCTCTCGACGGCGGTCCAGTACGACCAGGCGACGGTGGGTGCGGTGGCGGCGCCGGAGACGTTGTAGGTGCGGAAGGCCGGCCCGAGCGGGTCGCTGGTGTAGGTGGTGGCGAGAGCGAGGACAGTCATGCCCTGGGCGGCGACGTCGACGGACCAGGCGGCGGGGCCGCTGGGCGTGGCCTTGGCCTTGGTGCTGCCGGCGCCGGCACCGGCGCCGGTTGCGGCGAGGACCTTGTGGGCGCCAAAGTGGGCCACAGCAAAGGGCTGGAGCTGACGAGGGTCGAGGCTCAGGGATACGCTGACGTCGGCGGCCACCTGGTTGAGCAAAATGACAAACAGCGTGGCGCCGTCGGCCGACAGCGCCGTCAGCCAGTCGACGTTGGTGCTGCCCGTGACGGCCACCAGACTGCGCGGCTGCCAGAGGTTGGCGGCGGTGCCGTAGACGGTGCCGGTGGCAAAGCCGTAGGGCACGTGGCTGCCGACCTTGCTGGTCAGGAAGCCCTCGGGGAAGCTAATCTGGCCGCCACTCAGCAGCTGCGCGCTCGACACCAGGTAGTCGGTCAGCCAGCCAATGTGCCACCAGCCGTGCCATGGGTAGCTGCTGCCGCCCGTGTTGCCCTGGTACCAGTAGTAGCTGGGGATGCCGCTGACGGGCGTCACAAAGGCGTCGCGGCCGCGGGCGGCGATGCGCGCCAGCTGCAGGAAGTGGGCGTCGCCGGTGGCCGCGTAGATCTTGACAAACAGCCCCGCGTGGCTGCTGATGGTGATGGGGCCGTGCGAGGCGACCGAGCCGCCGTAGCCCGCGTGCTCGTAGTTGAGGCCCACCTGCGAGACCTGCCAGTCGGCCAGCACGGCGCCGGCCCAGTTCTTCTCAGACGCGTCCACCTGCGGGTGGTTGAAGATGTGCAGCGTGTAGAACTTGGCCGTCTGCACGGCCGCGTCGAGGTACGCGCTGTTGTTGGTCGCGTCGTAGAGCTGCAGCAGCGCGCCCGCGGCGTGGCCCGTCTGGAAGTCCGGGTACAGGTACGTGTCGTCGCAGACGCCGAGCCAGCGGCCCGTGCGCACGGCGTGCGCAATGAGCCACTGCGCGCCCGCCTCGGCGCCCGCCAGGTACTTGGCGTCGCCCAGGACGCGGTAGGCCGCCAGCAGGCCGTACCAGGTGGCGCGCAGGTCCTGCAGCTCCGGGTACATGAGCGTCGCCGGGCTGGCCTTGCGGTAGCCGACGTCAAAGTCGCCCGCGCTCTTCTGCCAGGCCAGCAGCTTGTCGGCGGCGGTCGTGAAGCGCTCGAGCAGCAGCGCGTCGGTGCGGTTGAACAGCAAAATGTTGCCGACGTCGCTGAGGATGTAGAACGTCGTGAACATGGGCGACACGTAGTCGACGGTGCTGAGGCTCGTCCACAGCAGCTCGCACACAAACGCGCCGTTGAGGTAGTACTCGCCGAGAGCCGCGCCATCAAAGACGCCGCCCGACGTGTCCTGTTGGCCCAGCTTGAAGTTGCGCGCGTACGGCAGCCGCTCGTGCAGGATCAGCGGGTCGCCCGTTAGCCGCTGCACCATCCACATCGACGCCACGTCCGACAGCTTGCCCGACTCGGCGCCCATCTCGAGGCCGTCAAACGTCCAGCGGTGCCATTTCGAGGCCGCCGACGTCACAAAGTCGTGGATGCGGTGCAGGCGGTCGCTCAGCGCGTCCGTGTCGACGGCCTTGGCGTCGTAGAGGTCGAGCGGGTAGACCTCCTGCGACACGAAGCGGTTGACCTCGTACCACTGCGTCGTCGCGTGGCCCGCGGTCACGCTGTACAGGAACCGCCCCGTGACGCTCGCGCCCTTGGCCAGCTGCGAGTGCGCCTGGCCCAGCACCGGGTAGTACGCCGTCGGCGACAGCGTGCCCGTCGGCCCGCGCAGGCTCATGCCGACGTTCCACTGCTGCTGCGTGGCCGTACTGTTGTTGGCAAAGGGATCGCGCGCCAGCGACGGGTGGGCGATGGCCGCGAACGTGGTGCCGCTGGCGGCGGAGCCCAGGATGGCCACGAGGCTCGTCGTCGACGCCTCGACCGACACCCAGTTGCTCGCCGGCACGCCCTGCACGTACTTGTAGAAGAGCTCCTTGGACGTCTCGATGCTGTTGGCCGACCAGTAGCCCGGCACCACGCCCCAGTCGAGGTCGCTGTCGGCGAGCTCGACCAGCCGCGGGCTCGCCAGCGACACCCAGCCGGCCGCCGGCGCCGTCCACGTCGCGTTCACCACCAGCAGGTCCCAGCTGCGCGTCGTGTCGACCGCCCAGACCGCCGTGTACGTGCCGTTGCCGCCGTCGGTCGCCACGGTCGTCGTCGTCGTCAGCGTCGCGCCGTCTGCACTCAAGTCGACAGAGTCCGCGCCGAACTGGTGCAGCGTCCCCAGCGCGCCCGCCTGCACGAGCGACGTCGACTGCGCCGCCGTCGTGTAGTTGGTCAGCACGCTGTATTGTCCGAGGACGGACGACTGCGTCGTCCACGTGCTGCTGCCCGACAGCGTCGCCACCGACGCCGTCCACGACCCGTCCGACGACGCCTCGTCGGTCCACGTCATGCGCAGCGTCCGGCCCGTCAGCGTATGGCCGGTGCCGAACACCGCCGACGCCTGGGCCAACCCGGCCAAGGCGTAGAAAAGCGTGGACATGGGGGAGCAGTAGCAATATCAGGCAATAAGGAGAGGGGGAGAAAGGAAGACGGGATGCGGTGTCCTCTTTGGGAGAAGAAGGATTGATTTCCTCGACCGTTACTTTTGATTACGACGACATTCAGGGACGCCACGACACTACTTATAGAGACTAAGCACAATCACATCTGCCAGATAGAGAAAATAGGAAATGAGGAGGGGCTCCGATCTGCCGTCTGCATCTTGGAGTAGAGTGGGAGAAAGAAGGACAAAGTCGGGGTCATGCCGCTGACGACACGATTGTCTTGCGGGGAGCTAACATGCAGCTAATTTTATGTTGTCTCTGGCAGCTATCCTTTCGATCGTCATGTCGGGGGCACTCCAACTCCATTTTCACCGTCTTCCCACAATAGCCATCGGCTCCAAACAAAGTAAACCAACATATGCCATGTGTCGTAGACAACGTGCAATGCAGGCGAACTGCAACCCCAAAGAGTCAATGGCTCGCTTCCACAAACTCCTAGCGGACAGGGGTCAGCGTCCTGCTGCGTAAAACGTGAGCCGGAGTCAATTGCGGGGATTGCGGGGAGATAATAAAATTATGAGGAGAAACAAACGAATGACAAGGTGTACGACAAGTTGAACGACGGAAAAGTGGCCACCGAGGATATTTTAGTGACAGTCCATTGACGTTCATGAACACGGTGGTTCCGTTGACAAGGGTGACAGACGTGGCACTTGCCGGCATCCGCTTGTCGTCCATACACCATCGACACCTTAATCCCTGTTGCGGTGGCACCGTCCACTCCAGACATTTCTTCTTCTCCACGTTGATCTCCACGTTGTTCTCCACGATATCTGTAAGCACATTCGTAGATTCAATCCCTCCTTCATTTGGTCGTTTGAATGTATTTTACTTCATATTCACCTATTTCGATGGATTTATTCATTGTTTGAATGTTTAAATTATTTACAATGTTAAAGTAAACTCGGCTCGCCATAATTCAAACGGCCATACTATTGTTACATTGTCATGCCATCATAATACACATACGTAAACCTCAAGGAACGCTGCATTTGTGCTCCGCACTCGTACAATGCACGCCGCGTCCGTCAAATCATCTTGGCTACCAGGTCCTGCAGCTCCTCACTGTGGGCCGCTCCCAGTCCGCCGTGCCAATGCGCCGCCCCCGCGGCCCAGATGCTCACGAGGCTGGCATACCGGCTGAGCGTCACCACTTCGGGCGGCATTCGCCTCGCCAGGTCCATGTCCTCTGTCCCCGCCCCGCCGTCCAGCAATTCAATCACCCGCGCACTGACCGTATCGAACTGCGCCGCCAGGATCTTGCCGTCCTCCCAGCGCTCGCCCAGCGTCTGCAGGATCAGCGCAATGTCCTTGGTGGTCTTCCAGAGGTGCAGAGCGTGGACGTCATCTCTCTCGCCGCGCGTCGGCGTCGGCGTCGGCGTCAGCGTGCACGTCAGCTTCCAATAGGCGTACAGCAGCACCAGCCCCGTCCAGTAGACCTTCTCGCAGGCCACCTGCACGTAAAAGATGCCGTTCGTCTCGACCAGCTGGCGGTACAGCGCGGTGAAACCGCGGGCCGAGACCCAGAGCTCACGCAGGGCGTCGACGCTGCGCTCCGGCAGCAGGCGGCAGGGGCGGAACAGGAGCATCTTGCCGACGAGCCACTCGCTGTCGGCCAGCGTCTCGCGGTTGCGCTCGGGGCGGTTGGAGAGCTGCCACGCGTCGAGTTTGCGCGCGAGGGCGTCGACGACGGCCGCCGCGTTTTGGCTGGCGACGCCATCGTCATCGCCATCGTCGCCCGTCGGCGGCTGGCTCAAGGCGTCGTAGATTTCCGACTGCAGCTGCAGCGCCCGGTACCGCTGCAGGTAGCCCTCGACCTCCACGGCCGTCGCCGTGCTCTCGATGCGAAACGACGGCAGCCGCACGTGGATCAGGGCGTCGGCGATTTCCGTGGGCCGCCCACAGCCGATGCTCAGCGACCGGTCAAACGAATACATGCTCCACCAGAGCCGCCGCCGCGTCTCGAGCAGGCTGGGCGGCGTCGTGGCGGCGACGGTCGGGTCCCGGTCCGCATCTGGGTCCGGGTCCGGGTCCTGGTGCAGCCCCAGGTCCACGCAGTTGCGCATGCCGACGCCAATCAGGTACCACGCGTCCAGCACCGACGGGTTGAGCGTGGCGAACTGGATGAGGAACAGGAGCGACTGCACGCCGACAATCGTGTTGGGAAGAATGGCCGACTCGCGGAACTGCAGGCCGGCCTGGAACAGCCGGCGCGCCTGGTTGGAGATCATGCTGTCGGCGCTGCGCGAGAGGCTCGACGTCGCAATGGCCAGCACCAGCAGCACGGTAAAGTACGAGTAACCCGCGTCGAGCGTCGGCCCACTGCTGTTGGTGCTGTTGGTGCTGTTGGCGTTGTTGGTCGTTGGGTCGGCCGCGCTGCCACTCACACTGCCACCTGTACTGCTGCCCGCATGCGCATGGCCGCCGTACACCTGCTGAAACTGCGCCCAGAAGCCCTGCAGCGAGAAGAAGGGCAGCCGCGGGTAGACCTGCTGGATGTAGTGCTGGATCAGCTTGCGCGCAGCCGATTCGTCGGGCAGGCAGCTGGCGACGCTGGCCTGGGCGGCGGCCGTGCCTCCGCTCGCACGGCCTGTCTCTGGGTCAACGATGGACAGCAGCGGTAGTTTGCTGGCGGCTGCCAAGAGCACCGTCGACAGGGTCGGTCCTCGGCCCTCCGCGGAGGCTGCGCTCGTGTGGGCGTGCGACGAGGTGGAGATGGGCAGGGCGCCTATGTCGGCAATCAACGTGTCGATGGCGGCTGCCCCCGACGACCCGGCCGGGCCAGAGAGCAGCTGCGGCGGCAGTCGTGGCCGTGGTCGCCGTTGCGGAGCGTCTATCGATGGAGACCCGGCGGCCGGCAGATCCTCCGAGGACGCGTTGAAGTCAAACGGCGTCTGCGACGGCGCGTGGGGCTCCTCTGCCCGGGCCCTTGGCAGCACCGACCCCGTTGGCCCGCTCGGCCCGTCCGGTCGCAGCACCGCGAGCCGCGTCTTAACATCGGCAATCCGGCCCTGCAGAAACACCACGTAGTCGTGCGCCGGCCGTGCCGATCCATCGGCCAGCGAACAGGTGCCAGCGCGTCCAAATTTGGTACAGCAGCCGCACGCAGGCACGCCGCCGTCGCACTTGATCTTGCGCGACTTGCAAAACGAGCAGGCCGAGACGACCTGGCTGATGCGGAGGGCGACGTCACGGGGACGACCGGTTGGACGAGGCACGTCAGCAACTGCAACTGTATCGACCGGATCGACCTGCATCTTGTCGTGAAAACGACGTCGTTTGACGGTGCGTTGCTTTGCGGAACGCCAATTGGGAAGGTGCCGTCGGTCCCGCGAGGCTGCACTTATGGGCGTTCCGTTGGAGAAGGTGCGTCTCAGAGTGCGGGGAAGGTGCGATTGTTGGACAGGCGGGACAGTGGAGGCGTAGTGGAGTCATTGACGCTAAGAATGTCTTCAGGGAACGACCAACCAACCACGACAGACGCTATCCGAACCAAGAATAGCGCCACGTCCACTAACCGACCGCTACTGCACAGCGTAACTGCCCCATGTCTGGTTGTGGGCGGAGGCGACGGAACCGCCGTTCACGAGGAGGCAGAGACGCTTTTGATTTTCTTTTGTCCGTTTCTTGCAGGTAAATTCTGATATTAAATTGGGTGGCTTGTTTCGTACATGTGCTCGTCTTCGGATGTCCCGTTCCCCATAGACGCTCCCATAGACGTCAGTGTCGCGTCCTCCGCTCGCATGCCCAGACGGCGTTTCGCAGATGAGGACAGAAGGAATGGGCAAACTGGACGATGGGTACGCTTACGAGACGTGGGTGGTGGGTGCTTTGGACGGTTGCTGCGAAGGGGAGGCAGATGGCCGACATTCTTGTCAGGGTATCTCAAGTGAGTGCGTCAAAATCCCGCCGAGGACGCACATCGTGTGGCGACGTCAGACAGTCCGTGATGGTATTCTTTGATTTGATATTTATTTTGATTTAAACATCCAACATTTACACATGACCGATACGACGGACGAGACAACACAACTCACTCTTGATTGCTGTCTGCCCTCATTCTCCTGACGACAACCCCCTCCCCCCTCTCCCCATACCACACACCACAACATGGCCCCTGCTCGCATCGACGAACCCAACCTCCAGCGCGAGCCGGCTGTGGCGTCGCGCAGCTTTCGCAGCGACGAGCTGCATGCGGACGTGTGCGTCTGCGGCGGTGGCCTGTCGGGCACGATCGCGGCGGTGGCGGCGGCGCGCCACGGCGTGTCTGTGGTCCTGATCCAGGACCGGCCGGTGCTGGGCGGCAACGCATCGAGCGAGGTGCGGCTCTGGATCCTGGGCGCGACGTCGCACATGTTCAACAACAACCGGTACGCGCGCGAGGGCGGCCTGGTGGACGAGATTTTGCTGGAGAACCTGTACCGCAACCCCGAGGGCAACCCGCTGATCCTCGACACGATCCTGCTCGAGAAGGTGCGCGACGAGCCCAACATCCGCCTGTTTCTGAACACGGCCGTTATGGGCTGCACCAAGGGCGACGGCCCGGACGAGCACCGGATCGCACGAGTGCAGGCCTTCAACGCGCAGACGGCCACGATGACGCACGTGGCGGCAGCGCAGTTCATCGACTGCACGGGCGACGGCACGCTGGCGTTTCTGGCGGGCGCGCCGTTCCGGGTGGGCGCGGAGGCGCGCGGCGAGTTTGGCGAGCAGTTTGCGCCGGACGCGGCGTACGGGCACCTGCTGGGGCACTCCATCTACTTTTACAGCAAGGACGTGGGGCGGCCGGTGCAGTTTGTGGCGCCGTCGTACGCGCTCAAGGACGTCGAGGCGGCGATCCCGCGCTTCCGCAGCTTCTCGACGGCAGAGATGGGCTGCAGCCTGTGGTGGATCGAGCACGGCGGGCGCATGGACACGGTGCACGACACGGAAGACATCAAGTGGGAGCTGTGGCGCGTGGTGTACGGCGTGTGGGACTACTTGAAGAACAGCGGGCGCTTCCCCGAGGCCGCGAACCTGACGCTCGAGTGGGTCGGCACGGTGCCGGGCAAGCGCGAGAGCCGGCGGTTCATGGGGCCGACCATCCTAACGCAGCAGGACATTGTCGAGCAGCGCTTCCACAGCGACGCCGTGTCGCACGGCGGCTGGTCGCTGGACCTGCACCCGGCCGACGGCGTGTACTCTGAGATTGACGGCTGCACGCAGTGGCATGCAAAGGGTGGGTTTGTTTTTTGTTTCTAGTGTTCTGCCGTCTTCCTTCTGCCGTCTTCCTCTACAAGGTTACGTCGCTAACAACACAGGCATCTATCAGATCCCCTTCTCGACCATGGTCTGCGCCGAGGTGCCCAACCTGCTCTACGGCGGCCGCATCATCTCGGCGACCCACGTGGCCTTTGCGTCGTCGCGCGTCATGGCGACCTCTGGCTGCAATGCCAACGCGCTGGGCGTCGCCGTCGCTCTCTGCAAGCGGCTCGGCCCGGCCGGCCGGCCGCTTGACCCCATCCAGCTGCTCGCCAAGGACAACATGGCGACGCTGCAGCGCGACCTGATGCGGTTCGGCCAGTACCTCCCGGGCTACAAGCTGGAGGACGACGACGACCTCGTGCGGCGCGCGGCGTCTGTGGAGGGCGCCTCCTTTGCGCTGTCGTCGCTGCCCGCGGACGGCCCGCCCAAGGTGCTCGTCCGCAGCCTGGCCCAGATGCTGCCGCTGGCCGCGGGCGCCGTGCCCGTCTTTACCGTGACCGTCATGGCCGTGCAGCCGACGTCGCTGACGGTGCAGCTGCGCGGCTCGCAAAAGGCGCACAACTACACGCCCGAGGTGGTGCTGGCCGAGCAGGCGTTTCCGCTCGTGGCCGGCGCCAACACGCTGCGCATCGACTTTGCGTCGACGGCGTCGACGGTGTCGAACCCGCAGACGCAGTACGTCTTCCTCTGCCTGCTGCAAAACGACAGCGTCGCCGTCGCCACGACCAAGACGCGCGTCTCGGCCCTCATGACCGTCGAGCACGAGTGCGACCAGGCGCCGCCGCCGGACGTCGGCGTCGACGCCTTTGAGCGCTGGACGCCCGTCCGCCGGCCCATGGGCCACAACCTGGCCCTGACCATCTCGCCGCCGCTGGCCGCTTGGGACGTCGCCAACATCCGCAACGGCGTGCCCCGCCCGACCAAGCGCACCAACTGCTGGGTGCCGCCGCGCCCAGAGGCAGGGACAGGGACAGGGACCCGTCGACTTGTGGTGGCGCGCTGGGCCGCGCCCGTCGCCGTCCGCCGCGTCGTCGTCCACTTTGACACCGACTACGACCACGCCCTCGAGTCGGTCCTGCGCGGCCACCCGGAGCGCGCCATGCCCTTTTGTGCCAAGGCGTGGCGGCTGCTCGACCTGTCGGTCCCCGACGACGAGCGGGAGCTGTTTGTCGAGGACGGCAACCACCTGTCGCGCCGGGAGGTCGTGCTGGACGCGGCCGTGTCGACGACGGCGCTGGGCGTGGAGATTCTCGAGCTCAACGGCGACGACAACGTCCTCGGCGGCCTTTTCGAAGTGAGAGCATATGCGTAGTCGGGCATGTGCCTGGGCAGTGTTGTCATTAATTGTTTGCTCATGTTTCCAGAGACCATTCTCCGTTTAGAAGTCTACATTTATCAAATTGCAATACATTTTATCATGTAACAGACACCTCTACTTTTGCCTCCCGCCACAATGTCCCCGTCTCTTTACACCTCTGTCACGTAGACGGTCGCTTGGCCCATGGTCCACATGCGTATCTGCCACTCGAGCGACTTGCTACCGCAAAAGAGAACGGTCCGGTTGCCCGTCGTCTCCTCGCTTGCCACGTCCTCGCTCGCCATCCGTCTCTTGGCAAAATGCAGGTTGCCTGGATACGTTTCTCGCAGCGTCGCGAACGTCGCCGCCCACCATGCTGCCGGCTTCTCGGCCACGAGGCCGCCTGCGTCTTCGCCCGACGTGACAAACACAGACACAGACGACCATTCGTCGGGCCGCAGCAGCGCTTCCCGGAGCACAAACGCCACGGCCCCAAAGTCGTCGCTCCGCAGGCTCCAGCACAGCGACTTGGTCCCGGTGTGCGGCATGGTGAGGAACGGCGCCACGCCCGTGCCACCGGCCACGCAGAGGCAGCGCGTGGCGTCCGCCAAGACCGCTACCGCAAACCCGCCGCCCACGCCGACCACGTCCGCCGTCAGCGTCTGGTACGGCCGCGGCAGACCCAGCAGGCCCGTGATGCGCCCGTTGCGTGTTAGGATGGACACGTCGTCGCGTGTGGCCGCACATGGTGTCAGCGTGCACCGTCGGTCGGCGCCGCTGAGACCGTGCGTGCCGGCAGTCGGGTCGAGGTCCGCGGGGAACTGCAGCGTCACATTTTGGGTTGGGCGGAGCCACCGTTCGGGCGGTGACGAAGACGAAGACAGAGACGACTCGTGGCCAGCAGGCGGTGGCTGTTTCGCAAACGAGTGGAAGCCAATGGCAGCCGTCACCCGCCGCGAGGACGTGTGAACGAGGGTGAGTGGCTGGGGGGTCTGTGTCTGTGTTTGTGTCTGCGTCAGGGGTGCCTCTGCCATGTTGCCAGTGGAATTTGGACGACGGAGTTGGGGCGACGGAAGTACCATGTCGACGGTAATTTCGGTTGTCTTTGGACTTCCTTCCCATCTCGTCTGGAACTGCCGTCGGCTCGACATATACTCGCATACTGCCAACGATGTGCAGGTGCCGTACGTTCTCGTCTGTCTCCTCTTGTGGCGCACTAACAACACAAACGGCCTCCCCCTTGTTCCTCCACTAACACGATCACAAGAAGACGGAACCTCCGCTGTCAACCACTAGTGCCATCTGTTTGCAACGGTCTTAGCCCCTTTTATCTTTTCAAAAGAAGCGGCGGTTCCGTCTTTACGCCATCTGCCATTTCAAGCTTGTTTCGAGCCTATCTTTCGTCTTCTTTTTATGTCCCGTGAGTCGTCGGTACTAGCGACTAGTCAGGCCCGTCTAGGAGACCAGGCAAACCAGCCCATACCAACCCAGCACGCTGATCCACACCTCGCCGATGCATTCTTTGTCACGAGCAGAAGCAGAAACGTGGTCGGCATCCTTTCACTTCACCTGCCCTCTTCTCCACCTCGTCTTTCCTTTGCCAGTCGTCCGTTACTTCGTGCTCCTTTGCGGGTTCCTTGCGTTGTCATGTTCCTCATTTGATTTCCTTGCCGTTTCCCTCTCTTCCTCCCTTTCGTCCCCTCTTTACCCAACTGCCACCACTCTTCTGCACCTCCACTTCCCCACAACCACGCGTGCTCAAGGGTGCTCCGTATGGAGTCGAGTCCGGGGTCAGGTCTGTCTGTCTGAGCTCCCTCGGTCTGGGTCGAAATTGTTTATTTTTTCCCTTTTTCTTTTTCCTTTTCCTTACTTTCCGTCCTAGTTGTTCATTCCGCGTGGTCAACTCTCCCATGTGTCCATCGTGCCAGTTGTTTTCCCTATCTTGTTTCCTCCTCCTCGCCCACCCTCGTCACTCCTCTCGGCTCCTATAATACAGGCGTCGATCCCCTTCCGTCTCTGCCGTCCGTCCTCCCCGTCCCCTTCTCTCCCTTCATGCACTTCACCGTCCTTTATTCATCTTGCCACTCCTCCACGTCTGCACAATGGCCGTCACACAGTACAACAACGGCAGGATCAACCTGTGGCTGATCTTTTCATGTGCCGTCTTCTCGATGGGCTCCATTGGTTGGGGGTACGTCCACACGTCCATACATCCACACATACTCCCTGGAGTCTTGACTTGGCCTCTACTAACACCGCCTCAGCTATGACATTGGTATTCTCAGCACCATCTACGTCGCCCCCGGCTTCAAACAGACACTCAACAACCCCTCGTCGTCCGAGACGGGTGCCATCACCAGTGTCTTTTATGCCGGCCAGTTCTTTGGCTTTGCCTTCCTCGCCGGCCGCGTCAACAACATGGTTGGCCGCCGCTATGCCGGCTGTATCGGCGTCCTCGGCATGTGCCTCGGCGCCGCGCTCCAGACGGGCGCCCACAACCTGGCCATGATGATTGTGGGCCGCATCATTGCCGGCGTCGGCTGCGGCATCGTGTCGACGTCCGTCCCGCTGTACCTGTCCGAGATCTCGCCCGCCAAGCACCGCGGCTTCTACGGCGCCTTCAACCAGGCGGGCATCGTCTTTGGCATCTCGCTGGCCTTCTGGGTCGGCTACGGCTACTCCTTCTGGAACACGGGCAAGGGCGTCAACCTCGCGTGGCGCCTGTCGAGCGCCATGCAGTTCGTGCCCGCCGTCCTCTTCCTCGCGGGCGCCCCGCTGCTGCCTGAGTCCCCGCGCTGGCTCGTGGAGCACGACCGCGCCGACGCGGCCGCCCGCGCGCTGACGCGCCTCCGCGGCACCGCCGACGTGTCCGACGTCCAGGCCGAGCTCGACGAGATCCACGCCAACATCCTATGGCACAAGGAGAACTCCATCACGTCGGCGCGCGTCTTCTGGACCGACCCGAACCTGCGCGCGCGTCTGTGGCGCGCCTGGGCCGTGTCCTTTCTGCAGCAGCTCTCGGGCGCCTCGGGCATCCGCTACTACCTGCCCACCAACTTTATCGCCGCCGGCACCTCCAAGTCGCTCTCGCTGCTCGCCTCCGGCATCGACGGCACCGTCCAGGTCGCCTGCACGGTGGCCGCCATGTTCTTCATCGACCGCATCGGCCGCCGCCACTCGCTCGGCGTCGGCGCCATCATCATGGCCTTTTGTCTGCTCATCAACGGCGCCCTCCAGACGGCGTATCCCGGCCAGCAGAACGCCTCCGCCAACTACTGCAACATCTTCTTCATCTACTTCTTCACCGTCGGCTACTCCATGGGCTTCGGCCCCTGCGCCTGGATCTATGCCTCCGAGATCTTCCCGGCCAACTGCCGCTCCAAGGGCCTCGGCATTGCTGCGTCCGGCGCCTCGCTCGGCTCCATCATTGTCGGCCAGGTCTGGCCCGTCATGGTTGCGCACATTGGCGCCCGCACCTTTTTTGTCTTCATGTCCTTCAACATCTTCTCGGCCGTCCTTGTCTACGCCATGTTCCCCGAGACCAAGGGCAAGACGCTCGAGGAGCTCGACTCGCACTTTGGCACGCTCAACGTCCACAGCGAGGCCGAGGCCACGCCCAAGCAGATGCTCGACAACGAGGGCACCCAAGAGGAGCACGAACGTGTGGAGAAGGTCTGAGTGGAGTGTGCAGCGTGTATACGTGTGTGTTTATAACTGCGTTTGTCTGTAGTCCTTCTGTCTGTAGTTGTTTTTTCTTCATGAGTAACAGGAGCGAGCCACTCTGTGCATTGTTCCTACGCCTCAAGACAGCTTCTTAAATCATAATCTTGTACAGTAATACCAGTGTTAAATGCAAATAGTCAGTGTATCACGGCCCGAAATACTTTGAATTTAAACTCTTCTTCCTTGGATTTCACGTCTCCTTTTCGTGTACCCATCGTTCTTGCCGTTGCTCGTACAGACACCTCAGCGCTCTTGCCACTGCATGTCGCCTGCCACCAGCACGTTTTCTCCACCCCGCACCACCAACGACCGCTACGTCCCAGTGAGTTTAGCGCGTCCACAGGCGCTAGTGCGCACGCCAGGTACTTAACCTTGGCCAGCCAGTTGTCCGTCGCCAGTCGCGCTTTCCAGTCAACTGCTCCTTCCGTACCCATGGAGCACTACGTTCCTTCCCAAACTCACACGCACTCTGGTAAATGCCCAAAACTCACTCACAAACAAAACAATCTCCAAAACATCGCCAGCCTCAACGGCCTCACCAACCCTTATTGCACAACAGCCATGCAGGGCCGCCCTCAGTACCCGCCACCATGAGTGCCAGTGTGACCGTGGGCCCAAGCTCCGCCGCTGCCTCTGCCCAGGGCGTCCGCGAGCCGCCCTGTTTCACCATCAATGCCTGCAACCGATGCCGCCGCCGCAAAGCAAAATGCGATCCTGGCCTGCCCTCGTGTGGCCCCTGCCGCCGCACTGGCGCCGTCTGTGAATACACCGACCCGCGGTCCAAGACGGCCACGCCGCGCGCCGTTATTCTCCAGCTCGAGGACGAGCTAGCCCGCCTGGAGGCCGACCTGCGCGCTCAGTCCTTGTCGGAAGGGTGTCCGTCGTCACATGGCCCGGTGCCTCCGCCCGGCGGTAGTAGCAGCGGCAGCGGCAGCAGCAATGGTCCCGACTTGATCCGACTCGAACCCGGTGAGGATGCACATTTCCTGGGCGTGTCGAGTGGCATGCACCTGGCACGGTCGGTCCTGGAGTCGGCGCAGCGAAACGATGCGAGCTTCCAGCCGGGACGGCGCAGTGGGAGTGGGAGTGGGAGTGGCGGTGACAAGGATGGCAGCAGTGGCACCAACACGACCGCCAACAGCGGCCAGAACAGCGGCCAGAACAGCGGCCAGAACAGCGGCCAGTCCAACTCGGCCGCGTCCACGCAGCCAGGGTCGCCGAGGGACGAGACCACCGAAGGAACTGCACAATCAACAGAACCAACAGAATCAACAGCATCAACAGCAACAGAACCCCCGGAACCTTCACACGCCTCCCACCCGACTAGGCCCGTCTTACCTTCCCGCGAGACGGCCGTCAGCCTCGTCGACATCTTCCTGAGCCAATACGAGGTCCAGTACCCCATCGTCACGGGCGACGACATGGCCCAGATCGTCATGGACTACTACGGCGGCGACAGCGCTTCCGGGGCCGAGGACGTGCTGGACCATGCGTCCGTTGACCGCGAGACGAACGCCTGGAACCAGTTCATCCTCAACATGGTCTTTGCCATTGCCCTCGTCGTCCTCTCGCGCGAGAGTCCCGAGTCGCTCGCCCTTGCCAAAAGCTTCAGCAACGCCGCCATGGCCGACTTTAGCACCATCATGCAGCGCAAAAGCGTCCGCACCCTGCAGTGCCTCCTGTTTTTGCTTCTGTGGTCCGTCCTGGACTCGTCGTCGGCGCCCATCTGGTACATTTCCGGTCTATGCATGCGCATGTGCGTCGACCTGGGCTTCCACTCCGAGACCACCATCGACGTCGGGCCGACTGGCACCCCATCCCTCTCATCTCCCCCGTCCCCGTCCGAAATGGACGTCAAGCGCCGCCTGTTCTGGGTCACCTACACCTTTGACCGCACCCTCGGCACGCTGCTCGGCCGCCCATTCACGCTGACCGACAGCATGATTGACGTGAAGCTTCCCCAGCATGCCCCGTCAGGCCCCAAACGCGACAAAAGCGACAAAAGCGACAAAAGCGACAAACGCGACCAGGTCCTGCACTGGTTTCGCCTCCAGCAGCTCCAGAGCCAGATTGTCTGCCGCCTCTACAGTCTGCGTAGCGGCGACAGCAAGACGGACAGAGACGACGGCCTCTCTGACGACACGGCCCGCTGGAAGGCCGACATGGCCGCGCAGCTGCGCCAATGGGGCAGCCAGGCCACCAGCCTCGCCGACCCCCAGGGCCACACGCTCGACTGGTGGGAGTACTGGCACCAGAACGCCCTCCTGCTGCTGCACCGCCCGTCGCCCCTCAAGCCGCAGCTTGACGCCGCGGAGGCCGACACCTGTTGTACCGCCGCCCAGCACATGATCCAGCTCTCCTTTACGCGCCTCCAGCGCGGCAGTGCCGACTTCGCCTGGGTCGACCTGCACTACCAGCTCATGAGCGGCATCACTCTCCTGTTTCTGGTCTGGAAGCACGCCGCCACGCGCGCCAAGGCCAAGGCCGGCTGGACCTCGTTCAAAAACTGCCTGATGCAATGGACCTACGTGCTCGACCAGCTCGCCCGCCAGTGGGACCGCATCTCGCGCGCCCGCGACGTCCTCACCCGCCTCGTCGACACCACGATTGACATTGTTGAGAAGGAGCTGTGCAACAAGCTGTCGGCCAGTGACGTTCGCGTCCTGCGACGCCAGGCGCACGCCTCACGCATGAGCCGCAACAAGACCATTATCCGCCAGCTCGGGTCGCCCGGGACGGTCCCGACAGGCTCATCGTCTTCGTCCAAATCACCAGCTGAACCTGAACACAGTGCACAACAACAGCAACGGCATCGTACACGGTCCACGAGGCGGCAGTCCTCACAGCGTGCCCAAGAGCACTGTCAACAACCGGACGCCCAGCCGGCAGACATGCGACATCAACAGCCGCAACAGACGCGACACTCTGAGCAGCAACAACCCCTCCAACATCCGCAACACCAACACGCACAGCAACAGCAACAACCTCCGCATCACGTACCATTGCAGATCCCACCTCCCCAACCGCAATCCCACGCTCAACATCCCATCCATACCGGCGGTCCATCGCCACCCCAGCAGGAGTTGTCCTACGAGCGCTCCACTTCTTACGGAACCCCATCCAGCGACACGGCCGTCAACACATCCCAGTCCGTCGGCAGCGCCTTTCTCAACCACGCCGACAGCAACAACAATGGCAACAACATGTACACCATGCAAGTCTCTCCCTCCCACAGCGGCCAGCCCATCTCGCCCCAATGGATCTCACCAGCGACCGATCCTGCTGCCAATCATGCTCTTCCCCATTCGCATGGCCACCACCCACTGCCTCTTGTCGCGCCCTTTCATAACGCCGGCGACCTTGTTCCAGCACACAGCCAGTCGCATACCGACCCCGTCGTCCAGCTCCTCGACCAGCAGGCGTGGCACGGCCTCGAGCTCTACGAAAGCTTTGGCGCCCTCCCGGATAACAGCATAACCATGCTCGACTACTTTTCCGCGACGCCCCTGGGCATGGAAGATGGTTCACTCGGGGGTGTCCCGCTCGGCCGCATGGACATGGAGAGCACACTACAACATGCACACGTACCGGACGGCGCCCACCATCCACCTGCAAGCCACGACATGGTCGGCGTCTGGCCGAACTCGCTGACCAACAGCATCCTCAACTTCCAGCCCACCTTTCACGATCTAGGCGATTTCGGGAGTTGAGGTGTGACGTTTGGCACCAGAAGGAAGAGAAGGAGGAGAAATAAACAATGAACAAATGCCGTTTACAGAATCCTGTCGAGTCTCTATTTCCTGTACATCTTACCTGTTCGATTTGGCGTGTAACTATTAAAAAGTATGGTATTTTAAACAGAAAAATTGTTGAAAATAACTACTTGATTGTATTTTACTTTTGTGTCTAATAATTTCGTACACAAGATTTCATTGATAAAATAAGGAAAAACAATAGACGAAAATATAAATATTTTCCTACTTGTATTAATTGGTATTGTTTTGTCTTAATTATTTATGACCGAATGAACGAGTAACAGACAAAACGCATGGAGGACCATACGCATGACAACGCCAAGGACCGTTATCAATGTTATTGAAAAGGCAGAAAGACAGAAAGACACAAGACATTTGCACGCCAGTGTGGAGTCCATCCAGCACTAACACCCTGGAGATGGGTCAAAATGGGGGGGAAACAGACGGCCATGAAGACAGCAGCCAGCCAATGGATACCCCGGCGCTCAAGGAAAGCAAATGCCGTCCCCTATTTTTGGTGCAATGGTGGACTCTACCTAGCTTGGCTTCTAGGGTCATGTTTCTTCCCGTGAAGCGATGACGCTGGCTTGGTCCCTGGCGGTATCGGAACAATGACTGAGTAGTGAATCGTTCATTCGAATTAAAAAAAATAGAAAGAAAAGAACAAAAGTAGAAAGTAAAAACAGAAAATCAAAGTCGATACGATCAACGATCGACACATCAACAATTACAACTTCTCAAGACGACACACGACAACAACAATCAGCATCGGCATCACGAGTCGTCTTCTCTCCATTGACCTCCTCATCACTCCCACCCACTCACCCCCACCATGTCGACCGCTCCCTCTGGCCAGCCGTACCGTCTGCTCACCGTCAACAACGCACCCGCGCGCGCCAAGTTGTTGATTGGGCGGGTGACGACGGCCCTTGCCGACCAGTACCAGATCGTGCATGTCGGCAATTGTCTGTCCAAGGACGAGGTCAAGGAGAAGGTGACAGACTTGCAGCCAGACATTCTTGTGAGTCGTTTGGTCGTGCGTCGGGATGTCTTTTGTCTTTCTGTCTTCCGTCTTTCTGTTGATCCGTCCGCAACAACGGCGCGGTCGCTCCACCGACGCCGTCGATGACCTTGCTGACTTCGTGACAACAGTGCTGTGCCTCCATGTGGACGCCCGAAGAGAGCGCCGAGATGCACAGCATGGCCCGCTCTGTCCGCCCCGACATCCACGTGCACGCCATCCCGCAGGGCCTGCAGGTCCGCGAAGGGCCGGACGCGATTGTTGCGCACTTGACGGAGGCGCTGCCCAACTTGCTGGCATAAATTATTGGACGACGGCGCGTTAGATTTCTTGTTTTTAGAGGTACGGCCACTATAGAATAACAACATATATGGTTAGACAAGTCTTCTTGTCCCATATAGCATCGTCATTTTTTCATTCAAGACGTATTCACTGCCACGAGCTCCTCTATTTACTTGTGTCACAAAGTGAATTCACTTGTCGAAGCAAACGAGTGGTGTTTGCTATTCACGACCTTGCATGGTGCAAACGAGAATATAAAGAAAGCACGGATACGAAAAGCAATTGTCGCATATATTGGCCCGATGCCGTTTTACAACAGACGCAAAGACTGTCCGTCAGAAATAAAACGAGAGAAGCAATTGTCTCGCGGACGTGCACGGTGAGTAATGGACAATAAACAATAAATATATTCAAATGCATCTACAACAAAGTAACGAAAACGTATAGCAACAAATGTCGACTCCAGTGCAAAACCAGTAGAATCTGCCGGGAAAACGGTCCACCCTAGCGTCGCAACGGTGAATTGCTCTGCCGACTGGAACGACGCCCGCACTAGAGGCGGGAGAATGCAGGACGGCAGCTCCAACATTGTCGACTGCCACTCTATTTGGAGAGGCCTCGTTGTCGATTCATGATGTTCACTCTCTATCTTGTGACAGTTGAACAAGACAACAATCCTTGACACTGCGACCTTCTTCTTTCTTCTTTCCCCACCACTCACCACCGCTCGCCCAACATCATCCTCCACCATGGCAGACAGCCCGTTTCGGCAGTATCTGCCGGACCTGGCGCAGCCGCGGTTCACGACCATGAAGACGCAGGACGCGCACGAGTATGCGACGGCGTTTATGGAGGGCGGGCAGCCGCCATGGCTCCACGGGCTGTGGCGGCACTGGCTGACTCTGTTCCGCGAGCCGTTCAAGGGCGTGACGAGCGACGGCCGCGTACGCGACGGGCTGTTTGCGCTCCAAGACGAGGGCGTGCCGATCGACGACATTGTCGCGGCGGCCGATGCTGTGATTGGCCTCCTCGACGACGACCAGAAAAGGGCCACGCTGTACCACCTGGACGCGCCCGAGTGGCGCACGTGGTCGAACCCCGAGTTCCTGCTGAGCAACAAGGGCGTGCGCCTGGATGCGATTTCCGAGGCACAGCGGGCGGCCGTCCTGAAGGTCCTGCAAGCGTCCCTCTCGCCCGACGGCTACGCCAAGGCCGTGACGGCGATGCGCATCAACGGCTTCCTGGGCGAGCTGGTCGAGGCGCCCCGGATCATGAACGAGTTCTCCTACAACTTTGCCCTGTTTGGCACCCCCTCGGCGACAGAGCCATGGGGCTACACCTTTTACGGCCACCACCTGTGCCTCAACGCCTTTTTCTACAAATCACAGATGGTGCTGAGCCCCTGGTTCACGGGTGCCGAGCCCAACCTGATCGACGCCGGGTCCTACAAGGGCAGCCGCATCCTGACGGTTGAGGAGGCGGTCGGGCTGGAGCTGATGCAGAACCTGCCCCGGGACGCGCAGCAGCAGGCGCAGGTCTACAAGGACATGCACGACCCGGCGATGCCCCACGGCCGCTGGAACCACGACGACCAGCGTCACCTCTGCGGCGCCTACCGCGACAACCGCGTCGTGCCCTACGAGGGCGTCGTCGTGGCCGATCTGCCCGCGGCCGCGCAAGCGCGCGTCACCCGCCTCGTCGACGCCTTCCTCAGCTATCTGCCTGCGGCCGCCCGCGCCGCGCGGCTGGCCCACGTCCAGCAGTGGTACCACGAGACGTACTTTTGCTGGATCGGCGGCTTTGGCGACGCCGACCCGTTTTACTACCGGCTGCAGAGCCCCGTGCTGATTGTCGAGTTTGACCACCACTCGGGCGTGTTCTTGAACAATGCCGAGCCGGCCAAGTTCCACATCCACACGCTGCTGCGGACGCCCAATGGGGGCGACTATGGCATGGCGCTGCGGCCGTTGATTCCGGGAAAGGAGCAGGGGTTTTTGTGGGAGGGAACGCGGGCGTGAAGTCGAGGGGCGAGGAGGCGAGGACGGAGACGTAGAAGTGCAAGGTGCGTTTGAGCGAGATGTTATGACCTGGTGGACGTATAGACGGGTTTGTACATGAGATGACTGAATATATTAAGCTACATCGAAATTGTGTCTTTTGTTTCTGTCGTCGTTGTTCTGCCTCTAGTTTATTTCACTATTTTGTCACCATGCAGCTCGACAATACTACGGAATACTGCATGTACGTCCAACATGAGCAAGGACGTCCTTGAACCAACGAGCGAGTCAAGATGCCGTTGAGTCATGTGACCTTATGTTGACAACAAAGTTCACCGCATGTTCGTGCAAATGAAATGAAATGTATTTGAGCCCAATCTCCCAAGTTCGGCATCACTTGTCCTATACCACCAAACAAAACATGACTCTAGGTTGGTATAACCATAAGCGAGCCTGAAGAACATGGAAGTAACTGATCTTTATTCAGACGCCATTGTTCTCTCCGGGCCTTCGGGTGTGGGCAAGAGCACTCTCTGCAAGCGCTTGCTGGCCGCCCATCCAGGCGTCTTCGCCATGGCGGTCTCCCACACCACGCGTGAGCCACGGCCCGGCGAAGTCCACGGCGTGTCCTATTATTACATCTCCCAGGACGAGTTCGCCCGTCTTATTGGCGCCGACGCGTTTATTGAACACGCGGAGTTTAATGGCAACCTGTACGGGACTAGCAAACAGACCGTCGTGGACCAGGCGGCCAAGGGTTCGATTGTGGTCCTGGACATTGAGATGGAGGGCGTCAAGCAGCCGAAGAGCATACTATCTGCTGCATAAGGGGATGTGGACTACCGCTTCATCTTTGTGCGGCCCCCCGACTTCGCCACGCTCGAGTCTCACCTGCGCGGGCGAGGCACCGAAGACGAGGCGAGTGTGCAGCGGCGGCTAGCACGGGCACGCGACGAGATTGCCTATGCAGAGACGCCCGGCGTGCATGACAAGATCATTGTGAACAACGACCTGGACGCGGCCTACAAGGAGTTACACGACTTTGTGATCCGGAAGGCAGACCATGGCGGAAAGGATGCGTGACGATGGGACGGCAACGTTTCCTATTGGGCTTCCTTTGAGTATTGCAATGACCGTCAAGTAAAGCACATCTGCCCGGATGAACTATCATTTGTCGTTCTTCAGCCACCACTGTTTACTGACTTTTTACTCATGGCGCCATTTTGATGGCTCCCTTTCCTTTCCAATATCCGTCCCACATTGATGTCCTTGTAGGATCGGTTTCGACTTCCTCTGGGCTACTGACGATTCAAAGGCAGTGGACACATCCGCAAAGACTATGTTCACAATCAACAAGATGGATGTTGTCTGGGAAAGGCTATGAAGGAGTTGTGTGGACGGATCAGTAGTATCGTTGTTAGTGACGTGCGTTGCAGGTTAAGCACTGCCATGGTATGCTGCCCTTTATAGAATAAATATTATTAGTAGATAATAGAGAGGAACCATCTGACGGTGTAAGATGCTAGCTATATACACTGGCTGTCTCTAACAATAACCGCCGCAATGAGCTGTGCAATTAGCGTACCTTTAATCCGGTCTTCACTAAAATAAGTGGGTCCTTACAATTTTAAAGCTCCAACGCGCATCACGACCGAAGCTTCAACTGCATCTTTAACACCACTCTCTCATTTACGATTGGCGACGCACCACACCATCACACTCCACGTGCAGCGCAACACATACCGATGCGGCCACTGCACTCCATCTGACCACGCCCGCACACGTCGCCATGGCTAATCCGACAGGGGCGGCACCACCAGCTGCCTCATCCTCCATATCCTCTTCGGCCGCATCTCCGCCGTCTCTCCCGCCTCTGCCGCCGGGCTGGATGGAGAACAAGGCACCCACCGGCCATACATACTACTACAATGCACAGACACGGGAGTCGACCTACCGCCGGCCCATGCCGCCGCCGCCCGCACCGCCACCACCGCCACTGGGAGGACCGGCACGAGCACCGCCCGTTCCTCTGGCCTTTGCGCACAACCAACCCGTTCCTTCACATCCTTTCCCGGGCCAGCCTCCACCTGGCTCACACGGCCCGCAGGCGCCGTTTCTCCGCCTGTCCGACCCTCGCGTCGCCAATGCCTTTATGGCTCAGCACAATGCAGCCAACCATCCACAACAGGCCGGAGGACGAGGTGGACGGGGTGGCCGAGGAGGTTTTGGTGGACGCGGCGGCCGCGGCGGTGGCAACGACCGTCCCCGGCCGCAGCCGGTCGACAAACCCCGGTCACGCATTGCCATTCCCGGCCACGAGCCGTGGGTCTTGGTCTACACAAAGTATGGACGGCGGTTTGTCTTCAACACGGCCAAGAACGCGAGCTACTGGCGCATCCCCGAAAAGCTGATGCCCGCCATCCTCGAGCTGGACAAGGCGGGCATCCAGAAGAAGGTGGAGGCGGCCATGGGCGGCAAACGAGAACCAACCGAGCCAGGCGCAACGACCAGCACGGCAGAAAAAACAGACAAGCCAAACGCGCCTCTCGTGGACGATGACCTTGGCTCGGACTACGAAGAGGTCGAAGTGACGGACGACGAAGACGAAGAGGGGGCGAGGGGTGGCGATAGTGACAACGGCGACGGACCGCGCAAGAGACAACGAACAGACGACCCAGACAGCGAACCGTATGACGAAGAAGGCTACGCCGACATCGCCAACAACGCCAACACGGCCGACCGCGGCGGCCCCATCGAGTTTAGCGAGGCCGACATTGCCTACCAACTGGCAGCCGCTGCTGCCGAGTACGACGACTATGGCGAGGAGGAGTACGGCGAAAGCGAATACGACGCGCAAGAAGAAGAGGGAGACGGCGACGGCGGCGACGATAAAGATAACGACAACGAAGACGATGAAGACGACGGCCCGTCCCAGTTCCGCGCGCTGCTCGACGACTTCCACATCAACCCCTTCAGCCCCTGGGAGAAGCTCATTGAAGAGGGCAAGGTCTTTGACGACCCGCGCTACACGGCGCTGCCCAACATGAAGACGCGCCGAGCCGTCTGGGAGGCCTGGTCGCGCGACGCCATTGCCCTGCGCAAGGCCGAGAAGGAACGGCAGGCGGCAGAGGACAGGGCGCGCGCCGCCCAACGGGACCCCCGCGCGCCGTACCTGCAGCTGCTGCAGGACCGCGCGACGCCCAAGCTCTACTGGGCCGAGTTCAAGCGCAAATACCGCAAGGAGCCCGGCCTCAAGGACACCGTCGCCCCCCACAAGGAAAAGGACAAGGAGAAGCTGTACCGCGAGTACGTGGCGCGGCTGAAGCTGCCGGCGGCGGCGCGCAAAGCCGACCTGACGACACTGCTCGAGTCGCTGCCGCGGTCCCTGCTGCACAACCAGACCGACACCGCCACCGGCCTGCCACGGGAGCTGACGGGCGACCTGCGGTACGTGGCGCTCGAGCCCGCCGTGCGGGATGCGCTGGTGGAGGCGTTTGTCCGGACAGCAGGGCCGCCGCCCGACGAGGGAACGAGATAAACTATAAAACGAATGACATGTTTCTCTATCATACCATCCTATGTTGTGAAGTGCTGTTGCTGTTGTTGTACAATGATTATCTACAGTATGGACGTCCGTTCGCGTCCCTTTCCCGACGCTCTCCCCCTACCATATCCGCTTGGCCACCATCTCGTACCGTGTAATCTTGTTGAGGTCCATCTCCTTGTCCTTCTTGCCCTTGCCCGTCTCGCGCCGCTCGCGGTCCCGCACCTTCTTGAGGCCCTCCGCGTCGTCCTGGAAGATCCACCGCCGCCGGTCCTCGCCCACCTCGACCTTGCCGTAGCCGCCCGTGCGCTTGCCCGTCGCATCAAACGACGCCGGCTCAGCCTGGCCCAGCGCCTCGGCGTGCTCCTGCCGCTTCATGTTGGCGTAGCGGTTGCGCGCGTACCGCAGCAGGGCCATGCCCAGCAGCAGCTTGGCAATGAGCAGGATCAGGAACATGAGGAAGAAGACGACCACCATGGTAACGCCCGCAATGAGGTCGTCGCTCGACCATCGCCACAGCCACAACGATGACGACGACGATGCACCCGCCGCCGCATCGCCGCCCATGGCGGCATACGGGTTGCCATGGACCGCGCGGCCGAGGGCGTTGCGAATCAGCAGGTCGAGGCGCTCGAGCGAGGCGGCCATGGCCGGGCTCGACGGCGTGGCGGCCTCGGCCACCAGCGACGTGTGCGTGGACGGCGGCAGCGGCGACGGCAGGTGGGTGGCCAGGAACATGTGGTACGTCTGGACGGACGAGCGGAGGAAGAGCGTGCACAGCGGGATGAGCGGCAGGCCCAGGCGGCGAATCAGCGCGGGCGCGAGGAAGGCGTTGGTGTAGTAGTCCTTGCACAGGATGTCGAGGATGCGGCTGTAAAAGGCGGGCTTGATGTTGTTGAACTTATTGATGTAGCCGTGCTTGATCCAGTCGACGACCATCTCGCTGCCAATGACAATGAGAAAGGGCGACAGCACCTCGACGGACGTCAGCCACGACGGCAGGATCGTGAAGCTGGCCGGCAGGATCGACGCGTTGTGCAGCGGCACCTTGGCGGCCATGTCCTCGAGCAGGCCGCTGGCCCCCAGGTCGAGGCCGGCGCCCGGCACCGACAGGCCGCCAATCTCGACGACGTTGCGCAGGGCAATGATGAACAGCACGATCCACAGCTGGAACCGCTCGACAATGTCGGCGCACGCCAGCTGGAACGTGTTTTCCTTTTCCGTGCGCTTGAACACGCTGCTCTTGACCTCGACAAACTGGTTCGACATGAGCAGCGACAGCAGCGCGTTCGAGTACGAGTTGACGGCCACGTTGAGCGTAATCACCTGGTAGAAGAGCACCGTCGTGTGCGCAATGTTGTACACGAGCGCCAGGCAGAACATGCCAAACGGCAGCAGGATCTTGGACCGCCCCGACGCCGTGCGCGACAGCGTCTCCGCGCTGAACAGGCACTCAAAGATGTCCTGCCCGAGCGCCGACAGCAGCCGGTCGCCGACCTCGACCAGGTTGTAGATGACGTACAGCTTGACCGCCGACTGCGCCCGCACAAAGTGGTACATGCGGCTGGCGTCCAGGTTCATGAGCGCGAGCGAGCTGCACACAATCACGGCGCCCTGCAGCAGGTCGGCCTTGTGGAACGACGTCAGGTTCGACGGCATCGACTTGGTGCGCCGGTGGCCCCAGAGCCGCTGGCTCGGCCGCGTGGGCACTTCTGCACCGTGTGCCTGCTGTGCTTGTGCCTGCACATGGCGTCGGCCCCGCGGACCGTCCGTGTCGCTCACCGAGCTGCCGTTGCTGCGGCCGCGTGGCCGTCCGCCCGTCGCCGTCGTCGTCACCGGCTTTGGCTTTGGCTGCCGCCCTCGCCGCCACATCCGCCCCAGACCCCGCCATACATATGCCGTCATCCACCGCACCTCCTTCCACACGACATAGCCCCACCACCGCACCAGCACGCTCGCCGCAATGCAGAACCGCAGCGGGAGGATCGTCAGCGTCCACAGCCACGCGTCCAGGCACGCCAGCGCGCCAAAGTACATGGTCCGCTCCAGGTACGTCGGCAGCAGCAAGAAATTCTTGAGCCGCTCAAACTTGACGGCGTGCGACTCGTACGGAATGTCCGACGCGTACGAGTGGTGGATGTAGAGCGGGCTCGGCCGCTGGCCGGCCAGCTCAAGCTGCAGCAGCGTGGGCAGCGACATGGGCGGCAGCGGGATCGAGGGCGGGATGGGCGAGGGCAGGCGGTGTTCGCTGTGGCTGGGTGGCAGGTGTGTGGGCGTGTGAACGGGCGCCTCGCCGTTGGGACCCAGACCCAGCTGCGGGGCCGACCGCAACGCCGCCGTGGGGCCGCCTGCTCCGGCAGCTACTCCGGCAGCTACACCGGCCGTGCCACCGTCTGTATTCAGAGGAGGTGGCCGCGGGGCCGTGTTCTGCGAGTGCCGGCGTGTCCCTGTATTGCTGGCGACCGGCGCCGTGGCATGCTGGGTGCTTTGAGTTGCCGGTTGCTGGAGATGCTGCTGCAGTTGCTGCTGTGTGGCAGCCGACTTGCGACGGCTGGTCGGCGGTGTCGACAGTGTGCGGAGCGAGCCTGTCGAGTTCCAGTGCCGCTGCACACGCCGTGGTTCGTCAGGCTGACCAGCTGCCACAGCAGCAGCCGGCTCGGTATTTGGGCCATCCAGCGGCGGGCTGAACCCGCTCCGGACGGCCTTTCCTACTACGCCGCCCGTGACAAGATCGCCGTTGTCGGGCAGGGCTGCAATCGGCAGTGAAGCGGCCAGCTCGGCCATCTGGCTCGCCGACAGTCGCCGGACTCCACTCGGGTTTGTCGGAGACGCAATCTTTGGCGAGGCCACGGGGATCGACGGCGACGTCGACGTCAACGTTTTGTCGGGCATGTCGGCGGCGGAGTTGGTGGTACGGACAGTCAGCGTCGTCCTTTTCGTGTCATTGTCCGTCTCCCGTACGTCTCCGTGCACCTTTGTGTCGTCGTGGAACAGGTCGACGTGCGGGTCGATTGGTGATGGCTCGGGCGACGGTAGCTGGAAAACGCCATCTGCATTGGCCGCCAGGCTGCCCTTGTCAATGTGCGGCGGACGGCTCGGCCGTCGGGCATTCGCGTCGCCCTCAGAGAGGCCCTGGAGGGCGGGAGGCATGTTGGGTGGTATGTGGGCAGACTCTGATCGGTGAAGATGTCGTCGATCTCGAAATCGTCGGACGATCGAATTGTCAAGTCATGGCAATCCGTAGAATGGTACGAGTGGGACGAGTTATGTTTCCATTGGTAGACTTGAATAAACCGTCGTCGATTCTGTAACTGAGGTGCACTATATGTGTCCGTGGCGCTGTCGTGCAAAGCGACGCTGGATGTCGAGAAAAGACAGATTGGGAGGTTGAAGACGGGATGTGACTAAAGTGACAATCTGTTGCAGCGCGTAAATTACACCCTGGAAAGCGATTGCCGCGCTAATTGATCGCCGGAGGCTCGCTAAACGGCTGGGCCCTTGGCGGTGGCAGCAAGCGCAAATGCCCTGAGGGACAGACGGATACCAGCCCCAGCCACGCCTTGGAGCCCCATTTTACCCCGTATTACCCTGAATAATCACTAACTAGTGTCCTAAAGCGCTACAGCCACCACGTTTCGCTTCGTCACCTGTCTCCTAGCTCTGAACGCCCAGCATCTCGGCCTCGGCATCTCGACATCTCGACTCTCACATCACCACGGCCGCCACACCCGACTGCGCCGCCGTTTCTTTCTGCTTCGACACGTCCCCCCTCTTGATATGCTCTGGGCCCTCGTCAAAGCCGCTCGGGGACGGTGACTAGGAGCCATGGCGCCGCCACGCCGCGGAAGCGGAAGCGGAAACAACGGATCGCCGAGCAGCTGCTTTGCGTCTCTCGTCCGATTCTACCAGGTAGGCTCTGTTGGTGGCGAGCGAAAACATTTGCTAGGATGCTTGCTAACGGTGTGTCAGAGCTCATATGCGTCTGATTACGCGGGCTTTACCTTGCTCTTAGTAGCGTACCTTTATGTTGGTGAAATCCGAGTTGAACGCCGAGTTGAACACCGACGACGACGACGACGACAAAACCAGTCACTGACGTCTTTAGATCCAATTCTTCGTCGAGCCCTTCCACCGGCTGTTCTTTGTTAACGACTTGAACATCTCCTATCCGCACGCCAAAGTCGAGCGTGTGCCCGTCGGTACGTCTCGCAACTCTCCGATCCCATGTGCAATGATATCCCGATGTCCTTCGTCCCGGCTGACCCTTGACCAGCTATGAACTTCGTCTACGCCCTCTTCGTCCCGCTGTTTGTCATCCTCCTCTACAACTCCGTCTTCAACGCCCACGTCCACAAGCACCATGTCTCCGTTCTCGGCATCGCCATCGCCCTCATCCTGACTTCGACTGTCACTGACATCGTCAAGAACATGGTCGGCCGTCCCCGGCCGGATCTCCTGGCCCGCTGCAGCCCGGCCCCCGGCACGCCGCCCAACACCCTGGTCTCCCTCGAGATCTGCACCGAGACCGACCACCACCGTCTGCACGACGGCTGGCGCTCCTTCCCCAGCGGCCACGCCAGCTTTGCCTTCGCCGGCCTGGGGTACACGAGCTTGTTCCTGGCCGGCCAGCTCAAGATCTTTGTGCTCCGCAACAGCGGATGGTCGTCGTCGGCCGCCGCGGACACGGCCCCCGTCCACGTCCGCGGCGACTTGGGCAAGATCCTGATCTGCTTGGCCCCACTGCTGGGCGCCGCCATGATCGCCATCAGCCGCTGCCAGGACTACCGCCACGATGTCTACGATGTGTGTACGGGCGCGCTGCTGGGCTGGACCATTGCCTACTGGAGCTACCGGCGGTACTGGCCGCACCTGAGCAGCAGCTACTGCGACGAGCCGTACCCGGGCCCGGCGTCGGCGCGGAGCGAGGGCAACGACTATGACCGGATACGGGACGAAGAACAGGGCTTTCGGGTGGACTAGGGCAGACTTCTGGACGGAGCACTGTAGCGCATTTGTTGTACGTCAAGTGTTGAACTAGGCAGTCCAGGCACGGCCGGCCGCGTGTATGCGTGTATTATTACGAGTAGGCATGGGGCATGGGATACGAGACTGAAACGTCAGCATAAGGATTGCATCTCAATACGCAATCAAGGGAGGGCTAGCTGGATTTGGAGACATGGCAGCATATGTACGTTTCACATCACAAGTCGCCGCCTTGATGGCGTGTGACAACGAAGGACAATGAGAACAACGAACAAACATGGTCGTTTCCGCGATTTCAATACATGCAGTTCCGTTTTGGCACAAGCTATTAGTAATACATCTATGATGGAAACATGCCGTGGTTCACGGTTGTGCGCTCAAAGATTCGACGCCGTCTCACGACTCTGCGAATGGCCCCGCTCGTCTCTCGCTCGGCCTACTTGTCGTCGGTGCTCTCCTCTTTCGCCAGGTCGTGCTCCTTGAGCAGCGCCGTGATCTCGTCTGCACTCCACAGCCGGTGGTAGATCTTGCCGTCTTTGGTCTGGCCGACCGTTGCGAATTCGACTGTGCGTTGGGTTAGCAGGTGCATGCACAAAAAGTTGTCTGACAGTCAGCGCCACAACTCACTCTTCTCGCTGCTCAGCTTCGTCGAGTCCATGGTCTTGCTCAGCACCTTGACCGCCATCCCGCACGCCTCCTTGAGCGTGCAGTCCTCCTTGTAGTCCTGCTTCAGAAGGCTCTGCGCGCTCGCATTGTTCGCGCCCGCGCTCGTCGCCTTCCATCCGCCGTAGTTGCCCGACGGGTTCGACAGGTACAGCTGGAACTGCCGCTGCGGGTCCCAGCCGGCGTAGATGAAGGACACGCCAAACGGCCGCAGGCCACCGTGCTGCGTGTAGCCCTGCTTCAGGTCGCATAGCCGGCGCACCAGCTGCTCGCAGGGAATGTCTGTGTTGTAGGTGAGGAGGTAGCGCTGCGCCGCTTGCCGCGCGTAGTTGATCAGGATGTTGGCGTCGGCCGTCATGCCCGCGACCGCGCAGATCATGTTGTCATTGAGAATGTACAGCTTCTCGGCCGACGTGTCCTGCTCTAATAACTTGGACGTCACCTTTCTCTCTGCCGCGAGCACGATGCCGTCCTTGGCCAGGATGCCAATCGCTGTGCCGGCGTGCGAGATGGCCTCCAGGGCGTACTCGACCTGGTACAGCCGGCCCTCAGGCGAGAAGATGGTCGTCTGGCCGAGGGGCGCATCACTGTCAGCTTCCATCGACACCCTGCACTCCTCAACAGCGTCAACGCAAAACTTACACGAGAATCGTACCGTCTCGACATGGTGACGGCGAGCTGCTAGAACGACAGTGGGGGTGAATTGAAGTGCGTCGAGGATCAAGACCGTATGGTAGTGCTGTCGGGGAGTAAAAGGAGCGGTCGAGAAGCGAATGTTTCAATGTTTCGACGTTTCGATGTCTTTAGGCTGCGGTGGGAGGTGACGATGGGAGCAAAGCACACAGCAAACTGACGGCTCAGGCTGCTAGGGGAGCTTCAGCCAGCCAGGCAAGCGATTCGACGCGTAGCTTGAAACCGATGCGCTAAGGGAATCCGGCTGCCTGACAATCCAGGCACGAGGCAGCTCCAACCTCGACCTGACGTAAGCCCCACTTTTTGTCACCAGCCGCCAATTGAATTTGCCACCTGTCGCGCAGGCATCGTCAAGCCGACAAAGACAACCCGCCACCTTTATGAGGTATGAAAAGTTTCTTTTGGACTCCGAATCGCACAAAGCAGCAATCTCTCTTCAAGCGACTCGATTCTACGTCTCGAAGCCGACTACAGCAGGGAGACGCGGATTTCGTACATCGTCTGTATTGACAGAGCGTTGTCAGCACGTGACGCCCCAAACGAGATCGATTTAGCGACCTTGACTCGGCGAATTACAGCACATTAGCACCTAAATACAACAGCAAGGTGTTGCTGACAGCGGCAACCACTTTGCGCCCGTACCGAGACACTCCACCAAAGCAAATTTGCCACCAGCCACAGCTCGGGTCAAAGCTCCCGTTGCGCCTGCCCTCTGCTGCAGACCTGTCGTCCTGGCTCCTTCCTCTTCCACTCCACGATAGTCATTCTCCCACGGCAAGAGCAAACCAACCCTGTGACAAACCTGGGTTCTTTCCCTTTCCATAAATACGTGCGCGTAGTGTTTTCGGTTGTGGCAAGGCTTCGGACATTTCCAACCGCAAACCACCACCCAAAAGCCGGCGCTTCGACGCGAAACCTGTAGTCGTGTGATCGCGAAAAACAGCGCCCCAGCAGTAGAGCTGTCTGTTTTATCGTCCTTTTGCCCTGTTTGCTCCGTTGCGGCGCGCAATCGCGAGCGCGGCAGGACAAGCCACACGCCACGCGGCGACTGACGACACACGAAACGCGATTGACGCGATTCACGACATCACGAGTTTTACGACATATCCACACAACACTCCAACATGTCAGGTAAGCGGGCCAACGCGCCCCTATGTCTACGTTCCCCCTCACGCTTGCGGCAACGACGGCTAACCACCATGCCTACAACAGACGCCGAACCACGTCGCTCTGTGCGAAGCACAAAGGGCCAGCACAAGTCCCTCGACCACCTGGAGGTGCCGGCACCGACCACCGACGGCGGCAAGGAGAAGGACGGCGCCAAAGACATCGCGGCGGCTCCGGTCACCGGCGGCAAGAAACAGCGCGGACGCAAAGGCAGCAAGAAGCCCGAAAGCCCGCAGGAAGACGACTCCGAGGAAGAAATCATCCGCTGCGTGTGCGGCGCGCGCGAGCAGGACGGCGACCCGGGCGAGCCGTGGATTGCCTGCGACCGCTGCACGGCGTGGCAGCATAACGTGTGCATGGGCATGAGCGTGTACAGCGAAGACCTGGCTAAGGACTACTTTTGCGAGCAATGCAAGCCCGAGAACCACAAGGAGCTGCTCGAGGGCATGGCCCGCGGCGAGCGGCCCTGGGAGGAGCGCCGCCGGCAGTACGAGGAGGAAAAGGCCACCGACAAGCGGCGCAAGGGCGGGCGCAAGGCCAAGCCGAAGCGTAACAGCGACGCCAAGGAAGGGTCGGCCAAGCCGTCGCCCACGCCCGAGGGCCCACGGCGCGACAGCAACACCAAGGGACCGGCCGGCACGAAGCGGAAGACACGTGCCGACTCGGAAGAGGAGACCAAAGACGGAAAACTGCAGCGGCGCAAGCTGTCGGAGGAGGTGCTGCCCGTGTACAACCCGCCCGACGACCTGCCCAAGCACATTGCCGACCTGGTCGATGCGCGCCAGACGCCGGCCCGCGGGCTGATGCGCGCCATTTCGGAGGTGCTGGGTGGCATGCAGAAGCGCGGCGAGTTCACGCCGGCCGACGGCGCATCGGTGGAAGCGACGGCCGAGCGCTACGCGCTGCAGATTGAGCGCGCCGTGCACGACACGCACCCGACGCACAGAGAGTATGGTGGCCAGGTGCGGACGCTGCGGTTCAACCTCAAGGAGAACCACGAGCTGGTGGCGCGGCTCGTGCACGGCTCGCTGGTCCCGCCGATGCTGGCCACCATGTCGAGCGACGAGCTGGCATCGCGCGAGCTGCAGCAAAAGACGGCCAAGATGAAGGCCCAGGCCGAGCGCCAGAGCATCATCACCGAGGCCGACGACGCGTCGGCGCCGCGCCTGCGTCGCACGCACAAGGGCGAGGAGCTCGTCGAGCGCGAAACCGCCACGTTGCCCAGCGAGGACAAGCCGTCAGCGTTGCGTCGGCAGAGTGTCCGTGAGAACGATCTGGACATGGCCGACGCCGGGGGTGCGCGACGGCGGGGATCGGAGGCCGCAGGACGCGGTGCACAGGGCCGGGGCGGCCTGCGCGTCGACACGAAGAGCGAGGGCGGCAGCAAGAAAGATTTCGACCTCAAGCGCGTCTTCTCCAGCGTGCGCTCGCCGACGGCGACGACGACGACGACGATGCATCAGCGTCGGCCGTCGCAGCCGCAGTTTGCGTCCGACGGGCCAGGCGACGACCCGGACGTCGACCGCCTGCTGCAGGACGACGGCGACGAGTCACCGCCCTACTCACCGACGGAAGAGACCGATCCGGACGTCGTGTGGCGCGGCCAGGTCAGCATGAACACGGTGGCCGACTTCCAGGCCACGGCGCGGCACGTCGGCGGCGTCAACCTGAGCACGACCATTCACCTGCCCTGGACGACGCTGGTGCCCAAGAAACTCACCGTGGCGGGCCGTATCGACGAGCAGATTGCCACCGAGTACCTGTGCAGCCTGCGCTACAGTGCGCCGACCGACATCAGCGTCGCCAGCCTGAGCCCGGCCACCGACGCGGCCAAGGCGGGGTTCCTGGCGCTCATCGACTACTTTACCCAGCGTCGCCGATACGGCGTCGTCGGCGAGAAGGGCGTCGGCAACGTCCGCGACACGTACCTGGTGCCCATTGCCTCGGGCACGGGCAGCCACCCCGAGTTCATGCTCAACCTCGAGGACAACTTCATCCCCACGTCCCGCACAGCGCCCATGCTGCTTCTGGTTGTCGTTTACCGGAACGACCCAGCCGCTATGGAGAAGCTGCGCGGACCGAACTGGGCCGGCCAGTACGTCGGTGGCGCCGGGGCTACGCCGGGGTCGATGGAGAGCACGCCCAGCAACGCGACACCCCAGCCGCCTGCCGCGCCCGGCGGGCCCGGAGGTTCGCGCACCACGTCCATCTCGGCACCTGCGTTCTCGCCCATGGTGCCCCAGACACCGGTGATGCCGACACAGGCGCAGGCTCAACAAGCCGTTCCGGTTACTGCGACACCAACGCCGCCACAGCCGTTGGCGCAGCCAGGGCCGGCCCAGCCGCCCCAGCAACAGCAGCCACTACCTCCGGTGCCTTCGGTGCCTTCCGGACAGTCGCAACCGCAGCCTCCACCACCCCAGCAGCTCCAGCCGCAGCCTCCAGTTGCTCAACCGGCAGTTCAGCATCCGCCAATTGCCACCAGACCGCCTGTCCCACCGCCCGCTGCTGCTGCCGCGCATACACCGACTCCGCCACCCGCACACCCACAACATCCGATTCAGCAGCAACACCAGGCTCCTCCCCCTCCGCAGCAGCAGCAGCAGCACGTGGCGCACCCTGGACCTGTTGCTAGCCAGCCACAGCCTCCCCGTCCGCAGCAACCGCACCACCCCGCCGGGCCGCCGCCGCCGTATGCTGTGACGGCTGCTGCCGCGCAGCAGGCGGCCCGCGAGCAGGCGCAGCGCGACGGCGAGGCAATTGCGCGCGAGATCCTGGGCCCACTGGCGACGTGCTCGGCGGCTGGCTTCCTGATGACGCAGGCGGCCAAGATGCAGAAGAACGAGTGGCTGCTCGTCCGCGCCGTGTTTGAGCAGCAGCCGCAGACGCAGGACGACCTCCAGCTGCTGAAGCACGAGCTGGAGCGGTACAACGACCGCAACCACCACCACCACCCGAACCAGCACCACAACAGCAACAGCCATCACCACAACGCTGCGGCCAGCAATGGTCACGGTCATGGTCACGGCGCACCGACATCGACGACTACACAGCAGCCGCCGCCGCAGCAGCAACAGGCGGCTGCGACTGCGGCTGCGACGTCCAAGCAGCACTCGCAGACGCCCGTGCCCATTCCACGGGTGCCGCACACGCCTGCTGCGGCGCCGTCACCGGCAGCGCGGCCCCCAGCGCCCGCGGCCGTGCCCGCTCCGCAGCCTGGCAATGCCCCGTCGTAGTGGGGTCGCACAGGCGAACAGTTTTGCATTGGCGACGCAGACTCCATTTACTATTTACGGTTTGTGTGGTTTCTCGGCACTGCGAAACTGTACAATAAGGAGTTTCAAAATAAAAAAGGTTTTCGTTTCTCGTTCGGCCATTACGGACGGCGTATGGATTGGTTGGAGTCTTTTTAATTTATTCTGTATCTATTTTAATGTGTTTTCTTCGTGTATGATACTCGTCAAGTTCAATTCGGAGTGATGGCGAGACAATGTTGTTTGTTGTAAGGGTCTTTCGTGTGATCTTTTCTATTTCTCATTGATTTTAGTAGTGTATGGTAGTTCATTTATTATATATGTCCAACAGTTTATTTGTTTTTGTTTTTAAGATAAATATATTTGAAATGTTGTCCGGCTAAAATAAAGGAAAACCAACGGGTCAAAAATATACGCATTTATGTACGTTTACTGTTTTTAACTCCGCAATGAATCGTCAAAACAAAAAGAAATGGAATAAAAGAAAGGGGCACAAAGAAAGGAAAAAGACACTCTAAAACAGACTAGCCCAAATCAAGACGATCGAACGATGAGGCTCCAAACAAAGCCGCCTCGGTGTATTTTAGTTAGTGGCGGGCGATCGTCTGTGTCGATTAAACTGGTGACGTAGTCTCCGCCAAGTCGTGCCCAGCCACACAGCCAAGTCGAATATCGAACAACATATGTCTTCCCTACGGAGAAACACCCGTCTCCTCTCAGCACCGTTTGTCTCTGGAACTTTACCAAACAAACACAACATAGTCAAAGCACGTTTCATCAAGACGATACACCGCAAGGCAAGTTTTGCGCTGCAATTGACGAGCATCAGTTTGCAGAATATCTTCCACTTTGTATTGCTGTGTTACTGACCATTCTCAAGCCCCAATCTTTTACACCCAGCCTCGGTTCGTCGACCAAAGTCACCACCTTCACCGTTCCTCCCCACACGACACGATGCCCAACAAGGTCACTGCCGTCAACCGCCGCGCGCCCGGCGGCGCCATTGCGGCGGCGGTGCAGACGATTGCGAAGCCCGAAGGGGGCAGTGTGGGTGAGAAGACGTCGTGCATCCAGTGTGACGGCTACGAGTGCTGCTGCATCCCGATTCCGTGTACGGTGATGTAGGCAGAGAGGGGATGGATGGGAGGCAGGCACGGACAGCGCATCTGCTTTGGGACACGGGTCCAATGATAGCTTGTATTGTACAGTGGTTTGCTTCAACGGCTCGTCTGCACGTGTCGTGTTCTTCGTGCCAAATGCCAAATGACACTGGTGAACTGGTATCTTGTTTTGTGACCTTGTATCTCGTCTTCTCCTTGGTTCTTGCTTCCCAATCCGCCCTCTTCATCCAAACGTCTCGTCCAATGCGGCCCATGCGTCTTCTTGCCGCCTCCGTTCAGTCTCCGCTGCTGTTCGTGCTGCGGGTGCCAGTAATGAATCTGTTTTTGCTTGTTGCGACCGAGGCCGGGCCTCTGCACCGTTCTTTGCCAACGGATCCTCCACGTCGGCCAGCCCGACCAGCGTCTTGCGCACGCTGTCTGTGACCTCGTGCAGCGCGCGTGTCTCGTTGCGCGTGCGCTCCAGCTGGGCCTGCAGCATGGAGATGAGGGCCTCGCGGGTCTGGTGCGGGCGCCACTCGTTGATGTGCTGGTGCATGTTGAAGAAGATGGTCTGCAGGTCGGCGAGCTTGTCGGCGGCGTCGGCCGGGTGGATGGCGAGGATGCCGGCGAGCTCGAGAAAGTTGAGCAGCAGCGACTTGGCAAGCTTCTTGAGCTCAAAGACCTTGCTGGCGTGCGCGTCTTTTTCGGCGGACGCCGTCGGGAGGGCAGCGCCGAGGCGGGCGACGCCCTGCTCCTCGAGGGACGGGAGCTGGTTGTTCAACTGGGGTGGGGGAGGAGCTTGTCAGACAACGTCCAAACAGAACTTGAGCGGGACGTTAGATGGACGCAAGGAGGCCAAGGCCACGACGTACCGTATACATTTGGCCGAAGACGCGCCAGCGGCCGTTTGGCGGTGGTTCTGGGGGCTGCAGAGCTGCCAATGCCTCGGGCACATCTGGTACAATGGTCGCAGCTGTGGTCTGCTCGCCTGTGGCTGCGGCGTGCGTCTCACGCAGCTCTTGTATGGCCGCTTCGTTCTCTTCTGTGAACTGGCTCCAGAGATACGACGGCGGCTGTGGGTAAGGAGCGACGGCGCCGCTGGGGTCCTCCTGGCTGGCCATGGTCGCGTTGGACGGGCCGATGCGTTCTCAAGTCGTCCCTACAGTCTGTGTTGAAGCCGTAGATCCGTGGGGAGCTGTACGTACCGACGCTGCGTTGTGGGTTCGTGGTGGGATGTTCGTGAGCTTTTGGTGTCAGGTCACGCCGGAGGTCGCTGGGATGGAAAACACGCTGAAGACCAGCGGCTCCAGCGCCCACGCGGGGGTGTGGCTGAAGCTAACTGCCGGGGCATGTGGCTGTCTCACTGAAAATACGGAGAATTGCGCCACAGGCCAATCAGAGGCCACCATTGGCCAGTGGCACAGTGGGCTCGCCCGCTGGAGGGAAAGCGGGTCTGGCTGCTTAACTGTTAGTGGACTGTTAGTGGAGATCGTCGCGGCGCACGCAGACCTGAAGGAGACTGGAGCAAAAGCATGTCTTCATCACCGTCTGACCGACTTGTGCACGTTTTCTCTCCTCAGCGCCGCGACGCAACCCGTGTGACCGACACGTCTGCCCCGCTGATCTGATATTGACAATTGCAACCGGTGCAACAGGATACGCAACATCTGCATGATGCAGTAGAAGCCCGACCCGACAACTACCCTCTTTGTCCTCCTCGACGTGGTTTCGTCTTGTTGGCTTCGACTCAAGCACGCACACGATCCCCAGCCACCTACCGCACAGAAATGGCCGACGTGCGGGCCCTTCTTCGGCAGCAGCGGACGGCGCGGCGCATCGACCATCCGCTCGCCGTGTACTCGGACAGCGGCAAGCTCTCGTGCGCCGTCTGCCGCGAACCGGTTCGACCCGAGTCGGCCTGGGACGACCACCTGCGGAGCGCACAGCACCGGCAAAAGGTGCGGGCGGTACAGGCGCTGCAGTCAAACACGGTCAATGACGGGCCTGAAGCCACAGCACCAGCCGCCGCAAACGCCGCAAACGGCCACAGCGATGCTGCGCCAATACTGGCGCACAAGCGGAGGTACAGCGAGACAGAGGACGATGGCGATGTCGACATGGGCAGCGATGGCGACGGTGGCAGCGTCGGAAACGAGGACGAGCCGTCTCGCAAGAAGCAGCACCGGGCAGAGCTGCCGCCGGGCGTGAAGCCGACGGTCGAAAAGCCGACAATCGAGATCAAGAGCCCCATTGAAGGCCGAGAGGCAGAGTCTGGCAGAGCCCACGGCCACGAGCCACCGCGGAAGCTGTCGCTGTCGACGACGCCTCAGCTGACACCACCGCTGGCCCGCCGCAGCTCGGGAACCCCTGCCCAGGGCGTGGAGATGCGCATCCCGTCGCGGCCGGCGACACCGATTGCCATTAAGGATAGTTTTCTGGGCGGTGGCAGTGGTGTCAGCAACAACAACAACGGAAACACCAGCGGAAGCAACAGCGGCAGCAACAGCGGCGGACTCCCCTCGGCGGCGTCCACGCCAAAAATGGCACCACTGGGCCGGTCACCGCTCATTCCGCAGGAGGCACAGATGGCCGCACAATCTGCATCCGGGCCACTCAACGACGCCGTGAACGGGTCGAACGGCACAACCGCAGCACGACCAAAGACGACGACAAAAGCAACAACGACAACGATCGTAGAGGAAGACGAGGCGGCACCAGGGATTGCGCAGGCGGACATTGACGAGGACGAGTGGGCCGCGTTTGAGGCCGAGGTGGTCAACGCGCCAGAACCACGGCCGGCCCTACCCACGACAGCAACAGGCGGCACAGGCACACGCCCCGATATGAACGGGGGCCTGGTGGCGTCGGCGCCCGTCGTCTCCGCACAGGATCTCACGGCGGTCGAGGGCGACGACGACGAGCGCTCCAAACGGCGCGAAGCAGAAGAGGCCCAGCGCATGGCCGAAAAGGAAGAGGCGACGCGGGCACGCGAGGACGAGTTTGAGGACATGCAGGAGCTCGAGTCGCGCGTGCAGAAGCTCAAAGAGAAGCGGGAGGCGCTGCGGAGCCAAGCATCACAGCAGCAGCTGCGGACGACGAAATCGACGACACTGGCGCCGCCTGCTGTGCTGAGCGGCGAGGCAACACGCCGGCTCTCGGCCACCATGGTCGACAAGGAGGACATCCGGCAGCAGCTGGCGGCGACACATGCAAAGAGCGAGCCTGCCGTAGACGAAGATGACGTCGACGAGGACGAGGACGAAGACGAAGCAGACTGGGATGCCTTCCGCTTCCGCTCATAGGCGGCTCGGGGAGCGATGTACAATGCGTGTTTGCATTTCTTTTACTAGGAGTTCTGGACGGTGGCTGACATCGTGTGTACTGTACAATATATTCATTAATACGGAGAGCAAAAGGCGAGCCATGACACAATTCACCAAACAAAATTCAGACAGACGAGCAGGCATACGGGTTGAGAGCAAAAGGCGAACCCCCCCATCCAATGCGCCACCATCATCGTTTTACCATCGTGATAATCATACAGAATCGCAGCTACGGCCCCGTCACACTCCTTCTTCATGGCTCACGCGCTCCCAGAACTTGCGCAGCCGCCACACCTTGCCGATGCCCACGCTCTCGTCAAAGCGCCGGATCCGCTCGCTGCGCCGCCCGACCTCGCGCTTCCACACGGCGCCGACCCACCGCCGCAGCCCATCCTTTAGTTTCTCGCGCTCGACGGCCCGCGTCCGCGCTGCCAGCGCCGGCGCTACATGGCCAATGCCCGGTGCGCATTCGGGCGGCAGCACGCACCGCTCGACAAGCAACTGGGCGGGCGGACGGGCCGCCAGCCGGCGCGACAGGCGGATGGACACGAGCGAGCGCGCGAGTTTGCGCGAGACGACCGTGGTGTTGGTCATGAAGATGTGGCGGGCAATCAGGTCGGACAGCGACGGCCGCATGGGCGACGCGAGCAGCGGCGGCAGCGCCGCGCGGACCTGGCGGCGGCGGAGTGTGTGCAGAATGGGCGCCACGCAGAGGCAGCGAAGATGATGGGAGGTCTGTACGTGGGACGCGAGCACCGTTCAGCATGCCATGTCAAATCAACATCAAATCAAGATACAGTGTGCAGCAGCGGCGGCCTTGGCCATGCACCTACCCTGGACGCTGTGAGCAGGTCGTTGACGTCGAGAAAGCCGAGAATGTGCAGCAGCACTTCGTTGGGCAGGTCGTCCAGCGACAGGGACCCATCCAGACGTGCTCCTGCTCCTGCTGCCGAGGACGAGCGGGACGACCGCGGAGAGCGCGAGATGGCCCTCGGGACAAGCACAAGAGTGCCGCTAGGCTCTGGAGACGGCTGCCGCGGCGTGGGCGACGGCAATGGCGAGCCGAGAGGGCTGTCCGCAGGCAACGTGCTCGCGTTGCTGTCCCTGACCCTGTCCCTGTCACTGCCACCACTTGTTGCGCAGGCGGTGAGAAGCACAAGCGACTGCGACGATGCTTTGTTGGTCACAGCCGGCGCACAGGCGAGGGGTTCCGCTCGAGGTTGCTCCCGAGGAGGTTGGCGTTGGTGTGGGCGTGGGCGTTGGGCGCCATCCTTGTCTTCTGCCTCTTGCTCTGTCGCAGATGCGTCCACCACCTCGCGTTGCTCTCTGGTTATTGCTCTGGTTCGTCCCTCGGTGGCTACCGTAATGGCTGTCGTCCCAGGTGATGACGTCGGCGACGGTGGCGTCGATGTCGTCTCTGACTGTGACGCTTCGTTTGCTGGTGGACCCCCCGCCAGTGATTGTGCTTCTGCATGTCCTGCATCTCCTGCAGAAACAGCTTGTGCATCACTGCCAGCAAGGCCGTCTGCGCCAACGGGGGTGTGGACGTGCAGTGGGTCAGGTTCCATGTCTGTCAACTACTTGTGAAGAGATGAACGGGAGACGATAAAATGGAAAGTGGAATAAAACAATGACATAAAAAACACACACAAAAGGCACACACCGCGCTATGCGTTGTCCTCAGCGCTGCAGAGACTGTGATGGCCAACACGCCCTCACAGCTGCAAAGTGCAAGGCTGGTCGACCGCAGACAGCTTCCTGTTGATGGGATCTCTGTGGTGGGTGTTCTGTATGCAGGATGCAGGGTTGAAGCAACATAGAAGCAACACAAAACCAGGTCAAATACTCCGTGGACTCCAAGAAATCAATATCAAATATCAAATGCCAAATGTCAAATGTCAACTATCAAATAACCAAAGTGAGACGTTGCGATGAGTGGGACACTGAGACGATGAGACGATGAGACGATGGACACAAAAGCAAGCTGGAATATGCAGGAAGTGAGTTCCACTCGATCGAGAACGACGCAAGAGACGCTGCAAGAGACGAATGACGTGTATCCTGAAGGGCGGAGCTGACAGGGGTCAAGAGGCCACGGGGAAAGGGGAAGGGGCTGCCTGGACAGGGCTGCCTCGCGAGGTCACAGGCACCACGAGGGCAATCGATACAGTTGTCGGCACAGAATGATCATAGACAGGTCAAGAAGAGAGTATCGGAAAGCAACAAAGTCGATGGACGAGGTCACAAAATTGTAGCGAAAAGCAGCGAGGACGACAAGGACGGCATAGGGAAAATATGTGCGCGCGAGAGAAACGTGAAATGAGGACGGCTGATTGCGCAAAGCACCTCTGTTCTCAAACGGCAGCCTGGGTCAGGTGCCAGAGGTGTTGCTTGCACCATTTGGCGATCGTCGTCTTAGCTCTCAGGACGTTTGGGGCGATGTGTTTGGGGCGCAATGCGCTCTGACGTGACGGGGAAAAGTGGAGATGGCGCGTTTTAGATGGGAGACGTGCTTCTTCCGAGATTAGTCATTCATCGCCTCAGGTGACCTTCCGGCGCTGGTGGTCGGCGATAGCGTGTTGACAGCGTGCTAACCCGCCCAAGGCCGCTGTGAGGCTAGTAGTCGCAGGACAACACACTCACACAATTACAGCAACGCCTGATTGAACGCCTGATTGAACGCCTGACGGTGGGTGATCGACCCCATATCGTGTCGTCCATTGGGCAGCCATGAACTGCACGCACTCATACTGTATGTTGCATGCGGCCAGGTTTCCTGTTATTGGCGGACTGTTTACAGGCCTTGCAGGTAGGCCGGTAGGGCCTTGCCGTCTCGTCACAGCGGCAGCCAATGCCTGCTCAGAATCGCCTCTGTCGCCGTCAAAGCCTTGGGCGCTCTATGCCAATCAGACATTTAGAAAGGGATTAACTCACAAGCATCGCAGCCTTCCGCGTATTGTCCTTTGGTCAAGTGAATTTGAATTTTGGGGTGAGTGTCTTGTTTCTCGTGTCTAAAATACAGTATTAACTTGCCTCGTTCGTCGTACCGTAGTGACACTGACTGGGCAGGACTTGGAAAAGGTCGTTGTTTTCTTTCTTTCTTTTTGTCTTCTTTGTTTCGCTTGTTGGAATAACATCGTCGGGCGACAAAATGATGTGCACGGGATACGAAGGCGGACACTAGCAGCTGTTGCTCACGCCCAGTCCGCCCTTCCCCGTGTGAACGACTGACGTGTTGGCAAAAGAAAGGAAAAAAGGAAAAAAGGAAATAAAAGAGACGGAAGAAGTCCAAAAAGCCCATTCATTCACACTCGTTGCCACCCATTCCCACCTTCTTTTTCATCACATCGGCGGGCGGTCGCGTCTTATGCGGCCGTCTGCATGTCTCTGCACGCGTTGTCCTGTCCTGACCTCGCCTTGACTTGGTTTTGGGTGTTGTTAGTTAGGTTATTGTCCCCGGCTGAAATTGCTAGACCTGTATTCCTTCTTTCGATTTGGGGCTGCTTTGTCCCGCCATATGCGCGCCGCGTGGGGAGAACCTGCCTGTGCCAGTCAGCGAAGCGAAGAACCCATGCATTTGCTCTTTTGTGTGCCCGTTCCGATGACTGATGCAATCGGGCTCACCTAGGTAAAATTAAATCTTGACAATTTCTTTTTCAAATCAAAATCAACTTGCCTGGTCATTTGTTCTGCCCGCCTCGTTTTTCAAATTTATGTCATATCTCATTTTCTGATTTTCATCCCACTTCTCTTTCTTGTTATTTTGTTACGGCCATTCCTCGTGCTCCTTTCCAACAGAAGGCGAACCCTTCTCGCTTGCCGTCGCTCTTCGTTGGCATGTCCGAATCGGGACAGGCCACTTCAACAACCCCCGGTCCTTATCAGACCGCAGCATATCACCGTACTACTTGATCAGGCAGCAACTAACACCGCGAACGAGATGGGCCCTGTTGTCAAAAATGCAACCACCCACTACAAGCTGCCTCCTCTTTTTGAACGACAGCGCCTGCGGGCGACAAACATGCCAAGTCAGAACATGCAAGAAAGCATCATTATGGGACATGTGGAAAGACGACAACGGGGGTGGGGGGGATCATTAGAGGAAAGAGGACGTCGTCAGTTCAACACAAATCAAAAAAAAAAAAAAAAATTAAGGAGACGCTATGGTGTACTCTCCCAACAGCTACTCAAATCCAGTTTAAAATTTACGGATCGTTTACAGAAAGACAAAATTGCAATAAGACGTTACCTGGGACAGTCCTCTTTGTCTCTATGACAATGTCAATCGTTATCAACTGACATTACTTTAAATGCGAAGCCTTACCCGATATCATCCAATAACACTGTCTGTGAGCAAACTTGTCTGGCTGGTCCAGCGAGCCTTCCCAGGGTGGCATATGCAATTCGAAGGTCCTCTTGCCCAATCACAGGAACTGTTAAGGGCGGCCGTGCTCTGACTGGCTGCGCACAATCCTTCCAATTCGAAACAAAACAAAGAGCAAGACAAAGGCAAGAGAAAGTATGAGAAACGGCTCGTGAAAAGTGTCAAAAACGCGTTCGTCGGGCATCAACCATTATATTTTACGTGTGACCTTTTTCGCTCTTCAAAGACTCGAGAAAGTGTCACCTCAACATTGTTATGTCCGCTTTTGTTGGCTTTGTTGTTCCTTTTCAGGGGCTAAAAAACCAACACGCGCCAGTAGCACCCCCAGCCACAACACTTTCCTCGCTCAAAATTCTTTGAAAGCAAAATTCCAAGGAGGCTTTGTCCTTACCTGCTGTATGTCGCATTTTCCAATTTGTCAGTACAATTGGTCAATTTGTGCCTAACTGCGTACTGGACTTGTCAGTTGGCCATTCTAGCCAGCCTTTTCGGCTAGATTGGCCTTCTGTTGGCCCAAAAGTCTGACCTGCTCAGCCTGCTTTGTAGCACTTTCCCGATGTCTTACGCGGGACACGCAAACACGCTCCCACGTTCTTCAACTGGTAATTCGTGCGCAGTCTATTACGATTGTCCAACAACAATTCAAAACAGCAGTTAAGTTTTTTTTTTTACGACTTCGATATGTATTACAAATTCGCGTTTTTCAGCCTCCATCTTACTAGAAAATATTACTTGTGTGAGACTATATCACTAGTTGTTTAGTTTTGACGAGCGGTCGAAAAAAGTGGGTTGCGTGTTATGAACTATCCGGGAGCCGGCACGGCCCGTTCTGGAGGCCCGGACAGGAAAAGTCGCTAGCATTGTGCACAGAGGCAACCACCCCCCATCGCTGTTTCCCTGGCTGCCTCACTTTTCCCCTGTAAAACGAGGATGGCGACTGCCCGCTAAATCCCAACTAGCAAGGTTTGCCCTACTTCGACTGTAGCATATTGTGATTTTACAAATGACTGCTGTTTTGTCTTTGGATGTATTTTACTTTTCACAAAAAATATATACACATGTTCATGCAAAGGCCAAGAAAAGTTAGGTAGTAGGCTGTGCATCGTTCACCGTTTATTGAAAAGGAAACTATGGAAAAGAACAAAAAAAAATCACCAAAAGCACGCCCAGGTATGAAAGGAATTACATAACGACGGCCATCATCAGGAGAGACTTAAAAAAGAAACAAAAAAAGAAACAGAAACGCGGCCAAAACATGCATGTGGTCGTCAGAAAGCGGCCAATATCTCCCTCCCGCACCCACATTGACTACGCCTCTTCTTTTCACACAACACACGGTTATCCCGCCCCCCTGCCTTGTAATTCGAGGCTACGTAGAGATAAAGGAGCATAGCGCTGCCTGAAATAGAAAGGGAAACAAACTGAAAACAAATAGGAGCCAAATAAATGATCTTAAGGGCGGCCACCTCAGTGACCATGTTGTTTCTAGAACGATCCGTTCATAGATGGATGGTGGCACTCGTACAAAGTAACATTCTCATATATTCCCATATTCCCATATTCCTATTCAAGAAATTTACCTCTTCGCCACATATTCAGCATGGGCTTCGTTGTCACGCATTTTTACCCAAACCGCAAGGCAGGAAGCGTGCTGGTGCAATAGCAACCCAAGCTTCTGGCGTTCTCGGTAAATGCTTCGCTGGCAATACATATCGTCTGAGCAATCTGCGACCCTCGCCAAAACAAGTCCTCCAATCGGCATTTACGAAGGCGTCTGCAACGGGCAAAAATCATATGAGAGAAGGATAATGCAGTGAGTAAGGATGTGGACACACGGAAGGATTAGCCACCATCAATCTCTGGTTTCGTTCAGTCACATGAAGTAAATAGCGCTTGAATGCATCCACACGAAGTGGTGCACCGTTCATATTTGCCGGCTTTTGATCTTGGCGACAAGAAACGAGGCTCGAGACTCATACTCTCGTTTTAACAAAAAGGTAACGATCAGAGGCAGGATCCTCGTGCCAATGTCTGGCGACCTTTTCGCGCCGTTCATCTCCACCCACACTTGAAAATGTAAGACGCTCGAAAGAAACACCACCAAACAAGAGAGTCCATTGACACCGTCAAGCAGCACATTATTTTAAGCTGCTCGAGACTGAGACAGTGGGAGGCGGGCTCTTC